TCCAAATTTTCGTGCAATTTCAGATGTTTTGACGTATAGTTAACGGGACTGGCCACAGAAGGTGACCGTAATTCGAGATACGCATCTATTGCAAAATTTTGCAAGTTTTGGGAAAACCGGAAAGGATAGTGAGTCAGAAAGTTGAAGTTGTTAGAGTACGGTATGCCCCCGGAATTTTAGACTTCTTAAATATACAGTACCGGTACATTTTCGGCTATGTTAACCATTTTCAAGAGTCTGGGGCTCGGCTGTCAAGTTTCCAATCACTTTGAAAATTCGGAGGGTGTAAAACAGACCAAGATTGAAAGTCTTGCATGCACAAAATTTTTGGAAATTTCCTAGACATTGGCGTGTTTCTGAAAGACACCTATTTTCAGTTAGTTTCTGTACTGAGAATGCGAAGAAACAGGTGTCTTTGAGAATCCGGCAAAAATCTGAAAAAACTAGCAATTTTCAGAAAATTCTGTGAATGCAAAGTTTTCAATCTAGGCCTGTTTTACATTCTCCAATATTTTCAAAGTGATCGGAAACTTGACAGCCGAGCTCCAGACTCCTGAAAGTGGCTGAAATCAACTGAAAAATAAGTTTTTTGTATATTTTATGGCCCGGTTCTGTAGCTTCTGAACTCCTTAAAGTTGGGCAAAGTAATGTTCGCACTTTGACCTGAATTCCCAATGAAAACTCTATGATCATATTTCATGATCTTCGTCCAACATGGAAAATTTCCATTTACTAACCACTGAACGACAATGTCTTATTTCTTCGAAATTTTCAGAAAACCTATTTTGCAAAACCTAAAAATAAAAAGAGTTCAGTTAATTGTCAGAATTGCTGGTAAAAAAAAACCTGAAACCGTATTTTCCTATATCGGAGATGTTTATCTCTTTTCTCATTCCAAAATGAGTCTTGTGCCATTTCGATTCGCCCTGTCAAACCAGTTCAAAATCACCAATCATTGAGTACTTTTAGGGTTTCTCTTCTTTTTTTTCTTTTTTTTTCCAACATTGAACACTCATGTAGTCGTGCCGATAAGAAAAAACGGGACTGTTAATGAAGATGGGGACGACGAGGACGAGACGAGATGAGAAGAAAAGGGATTGGGAAGAACTGATCGAAAATCGTCGTCTCTAGGGACTCCTGTACGCAAATAATACGATTTGTTTGGACGAAAAAAAAACACGGTTAGTTTAATTGAATTTCATAAAAAAACGGATTGTCTGGTCATAGATCGCAGGGGCAAATGCTGTACCGTAGAACGCGGTTTTTTTCTCAAATTTCAACTTTTCGGTGTCAGCTGAGCGGATTGTTTGCATTTCAAAATGTTCCAATAACAAGGTCTGTTTGGTGGGTAGAAGGCAAATAATTGGAACAATTGAATTTTTCTGTATCAGAAATCATGGGTGCGGATTGTTATTTTGACCACAAAAATCTCAACATCCTCCTTTGGCGGTTTTTGTTTTCATTTTTTTTCCGATTGAAAATCAAGAGATCGGAAGAAGAGAAGAATTCTGGTTAACCAATCTTCGGTTCTCGGGGTTCAATTGGATAATGCATTCTAATTATCTGTACTCGATTGAGAGAATTGAAGAAAAAACCTTTTTCTTTTTTTTTCGAGAAGACCAACAAACAAGACACAATATTTATATCTTGTAGACTTTCTGTCTGGTGGATGGTTTGAAAAAAAAAAGGTTCGATGAAAAAAAACTTCTTAGAAGAGGATTTTGATAAACAAAGAATGTTATCATAAAGAATGAAATTTTGAGAATTTTCAGCATTTCAGATTGAACGAAAATAGCAGTTTTGTGCAGTACCGAGGCGTTGGGAGAACGCACGAGATTTCTGAAATAACGAAAAGTGCAACTTCAGAAATGCAACGAAAATAAACATTTTTAGTAGATGGAAAGATTTTGCAGCTTCTGGCAAGCGCTTTGAGGCCAGAAGGAACTAAAATGTCACAGGATTAAATTTGTTTCTAATTTTATGAAAGTTACAGTATCTGTTATTAAGATATACAAAAACGTATTTTTCAGTGGATTTTCAGCCATCTTGACCATTTTTAGAAGCCTGGAGCTCAGCTGTCAAGTTTCTAAACACTTTGAAAATTTTGAAGGGTGTAAAACAGACCTAGATTGAAAACTTTGCCTTTACAGAATTTGTTGAAATTTTTTAGTTTTTTAGCTTTCGGCCGGTTTCAGAAAGACACCCACTTTTTCACGTTTTCGGTACAAAACCTGGCAAAAAAAGGTGTGGAATTTTCAAACAATTCTGTAAGTGCAAAGTTTTCAATCTAGATCTGTTTCACTCCCTTCAAAGTTATCAAAGTGATCGGAAACTTGACAGCCGAGCTCCGGGTTGTTGAAAAATGAGTGATTATATTTTATGAACCAGTACTGCAGTGTTCAGAAACCTCAGCTTCCGCCACCGCAGCTCCCCGACCCACAAGTTCAATTCCTAGAGGTGGCGTATGTGAATGCAATTTGAGGAAATTATTTTTGAATGTCCCGGTCCTTTAAAAATTTTTGGATTGTTTGAAAATTAACTTGTTCAGTAAACGGAGAAGGCTACAAACTACAAATGCTTCCAATTAGACACACTCGGTCATGATCAGCACACATCCTCCGGAATTGCAAAGTTTTGTGAACCCCACTAATCAAAGTGCAGTGTATCTTGATTCCTAGTCGCGACTGTTTCATGATATTCTGCTGAATGTCATCAGAATGTCTTTATCGTTTTCCATCAATCTTATATGTACCTAAAGTGCAGAAGTATTCAAATCTGGAGAAAATCAAGTTCCAATAGTTTGCATTCCTTCCTCATCATCATCATTTTCGGCTTTCTCTTTTTTTATCTAATGACGCAATGAAGGTTTAAAAAACGAGACATATATCCAGTCGGAATCAGAAGCACGCGACTAATTCGAAGCGTTCTTTTTATGTGATTCAGTCGGATAACATCTTCTTCTCTCTTCTGTTCTTTACAGGTCGACTACACTCAAAACTTGTTTTTTTCTATCTCTACCATCCTTAATCCTTTTTTCAGGGACGGTCATGCAGTGACTTATCGTTATTTTTCGGCTTGTAGTTTGTGATCCCCTATGAAGATCACCCGAAGGGGGTATCTCCAATGATTCATCACCACCAGACCAGAAGTGTTAAATGATATCACAAACTTTTTCGGTGAACAAGAATATCTCAAACCCAACACAGACCGAACGGAAATCATTCCTCGTCACCCTTCACTGACCCTCACTTGTACAGTAATCCTATTAGAATCGAATCAACAAGTTGTCGAAAACTTTTTCGAGAGTGACGACGGATCAAACAACATTCGTGGAAAACAGATGAACCATGAGGAATCTTTGAACGCTATGGGGACTATATATTTACAAGTCTTAAAATGATTGTTTCTACAGGAAGTAACAGTGAAAAAACAAGTGCTGAAAACCGGAATATTATCTTATATCATATCACTAGTTTTCTAAAGTGACTCCTTTTTCTGAATGGTCAATGACTAACAGACTACATTTACGGGAACTGTAAAAACATGTAATGAGGTTGTTCAGAATGTCCGTTGATCATTTGAATCACATCACCGAAAATGTTTACTGATCCTCAAGTTGTGGATCAGTAAAATTCAGATCTGGAACAAACTCAATATGAGGGATCGAGTCAAATGCCGTGTTTTCGATTTCTGTTTGCTGTAGAAGAATGGGGAAGTATTTTTTGGAAGATTATCCTTTTAATGACCCATTCAATTATTTCAGAGAGCTTCTCGATCAAAAATTTTTCCACAACCTTCATTTTTGACTCATGAAATGTAGGGGAAAAAATCAAGATTCCACATTTCGGTATTCTATAAAATTTATTGTAATTTGCCGAACTCTGAAAAATATGTTTTTTTTTTTTCGAAAATTGTATTTATGAAAACTCAGAAACAGAGATTTTTCAACGACTTTTTTGTAAAACGGAATCCCGATATTTTTTCCGCCCCCTTCTTCCCTAAAATACCGTAGCGATCGCGCACCCCCATTTTTGACATGTGGTAGAAATTTCCTTTGAAAGCTCCTAACTAGGTTCATTTCAGTCCGTTTTGGCCAAATCTTTCTTTGATCGGTAGCAAATCTTTCTGGCTACGCGGAATCCTGACATCCCCCGGTTTAAACGGTACTTTCCAGGGCCGCGCGAACGCAGCCCCGTTACGCAAAAATTGAGCTGTTGGCGAATCTCAACTCGAGACTGCCACACAGGTCAGCCCATCCTAAAGTGCAATGGATAGGCCTCGCCATGGGGATGCCGCCTTTATGATCGCGGAATGCCCCCAGCCAGGTAAGTTTATGAGTCGCCGAGCTGTGGGAGTAGGGGTAGTGAGTGTACCGACATCTCCCGGGTTCCGCCGTCCGCTATGTTTTGTGTGCAAAGTGGGCGGAGCCTTCTCCTTGTGGGGAAGAAGGAGGAAAGAAGAATATGGCGATTCTGTTTAGAAAATGTTTCCTGGTTAATTTTAGGATTTAGTAATGCAAAAGCAGACATTAAAGGTGGTCTACGGTGAAATTTTTTATTGCATCAAAATGTGCAGAAAAGCATGTAGATTGGCATAAAAATGAAGGAAAAATTCGAAAAAATTCCTTCATCGAGAAAAACGCATCGAAAAATACGCTGAAAGCCCTTAGGGACAAGTTTTTTTTCTAGGCCGCCCGGTGAGTAAAAGTGCGCGAATTCCAACTTTTGAAATTTTTTGCTCGTTCTCACTTTTTTTCGGTTTTTTCAAGATTTTTCAAGGTTTTTGTCAGTTTTTCTTCTAGATACATCGGAAAACTTGAAAAAACAGTGAAAACTTTTCTCTGGTTTTATTTTTTTCAACCTCACTATCGCTATGAAATATTGAAGAAAACCTTATTTGCTGAGTTTTGGAAAAATACAATTCATATAAATTATTGATTTATTACTCAAAATGAACACATTATACAAGAAATCAGAAAAGAGATGTCAAAATTAAAACAATTATTCAGATGATTTCGGTTCAATGGCAGCAGCCTGTTGAATCGGAATGGATCTTCCTTGAATGGTTTCCTTCTTTGGAGCCTCAATCGAGAGTTTTCCATCTTCCGAAAGGTTCGAAGTGACCGCAGAGAAATCAACGTCTTCTGGAAGAAGTAGGACACGAGAAAACGACTTCTTGGAGTATCCATGCTCCGTTTTCACGTCCTCATCTCCTTGAATCGTCAATGTTCTTCCTTCCAAATTGATTTTCAAATTCTCTGGTTTAAATTGGGAAACGTTGAGACTGATTTCAAACTTTTCATCGGTATTGACAATCTGAAAATTTGAGATTTTAGGGTTTCATTTCATATTGGTTTTTTACGAAAACTTACCTCTGAAGAAGTTCGGTCTTCTCCGGACGAAATCATTTGGCGATCCATTCTTCCGAAATCTCTCATCAATTCATTGAAAATGGAACGTTGGGCTGGATGGTAATAGTGGTAGAGAGACATTTTGTAATAAACAGTTGTTATTTTTCACAATCGAATTGAATATGAAATTCTCTCAGCCGGCTCTGGTATTTATACATTTCCCATTCTCTTTCTAGAACCTTCTATTACATTCCCGTGCTCGTGTGACGAAACCCTAACCCCCCTCTCACAGCGGGGCACATGGAAACAGTGTGCGCGAGATGGAGACGCAGGCGCTTTCCCAATCTGCGTCTCTGCGACACATAAAGTAGGGCAGGCCCTCCCTGCTTCTCGATTGTTCTGGAATATTCTTGGAGGTGCCACCGCAATGGTATATAAAGAGAGCGAATTGAGTAGAGTTCAGTACACTTCAATCAAGTGAACCTTCAATTCAACAATGCTTGTTCTCCGTTCTCCATTCTCTGATTCCACTACTCTTGACCATATTCTTGACGAACTCACTGGATCGGTCCATGTTCCTTATTGGAGAGGTGCTGATCATAATTCTTTCAACTTTTCCGATAACATTGGGGAGGTAAGTATATTGATAACCTAGTTAGAAGGTTTATATTTAAACTTGAAATTTTCAGATCGTCAACAATGATACCAAATTCTCCGTTCAAGTCGACGTCTCTCACTTTAAACCAGAAGATCTCAAAATCCAATTGGATGGCAGAGAGCTGAAAATCGAAGGAACGCAGGAGTCGAAATCAGAGCATGGATACTCAAAGAGATCGTTCTCTAAAATGATTCTTCTTCCTGAAGATGCTGATCTCACTTCTGTCCAATCTGCTATTTCAAACGATGGAAAGCTGCAGATCGAGGCACCAAAAAAGGCCAATACTTCTCGCTCCATTCCTATCAATTTTGTTGCTAAACATTGATATTCACTCATAATTATTTTTATTTAAATACTTAATTGTATAATGAGTTTTTTTGGTCTCTAATAAATTGATAATGAAATAAATCTTGTTTGCTTCGGGATTGCAGAAAACATCAAACATTGCAATAAAATTTGAAAAAACATCATCCAGCGTTAGATTGCCAGAACGGAATTCAGATATTTTCGTAAATATTCGGAATGAAAAATCTAAATTCCCCAACCCATGGAGCTAAAAAGTGAGAAATCTTGTTTTGAACGAAATCGAACGAAAAAATTTTCGAACCTCCATTTTTGGGTTTGGAAATTTCTAAAAAACATTACAACATTCCAAATTTGGGTATTCCGAAAACTTTATTGTAATTTGCCGAAATTGAAAACTTGAATTGCAAACTGAAACTTCTAAAAAATCTGAAAAGTTTCCGAAAATTCGGTGGTACAAAGGGTGAGAACTTTTTGCGTGAGAACTGCTACAAATGAGAACTATAAAATGAGAACTCAGTTTACCGGCTCAAATTTCCGGCTCAGGATCCAACTTTCTTAAAAAAGTAGTTTCGGAATGATCTCGTTCTTCACAATACTTCAAGATTTTCCAAAAAATCCATGTTTTGACCTGTATTTTAAGAGTTCTTATTCGTACGGGTTCTCATTTGTAGCAGTTCTCACGCGAAAAGTTTTCACCCTTTGTACCACCGAAAATTCGATTGTTTCAAAGCTACAGTAGGACTTTCGTGAACTTCACCACCCCACAAAACACAACAACTTTCTGTTCAATTCAGACGTCTTCATTTGGACTTTTCCGACAACAAAACTGATAAAATTTTTCAGAAGATTTCCAGAATTTTTCAACTCGAAACAAGCGATTTTCTGACATTTTCTGACAATTTTTTCAACATTCTTTCTGTTTGAAATAAAACATTTCTTTTTTCTTTTTTACTGTCTCTCCAATTACTTCTATTCACACCTGCTATGAAAAGCCACTTTATTTGAGTTTCCTCACAATAAATCCTATGAAATTTCACAAAAAAAATGAATTTATATTAAACAAGATATATCATTAACAAATACAGTAATTATTGAACAGACAGAATGGATGGCTCGCTTCCGAGTACAAAAGACAAAGAATATTATACTTGTTTTTTTTCTAATACAATTATGAAAAAATTAGAACAAAGTCCGAAATCCCCGAAAAACGCCTTTGAAAAAGAAAGATGGAAAGGAGGGACGAGAATTTGAGGGTTAGTGAGAAACCTAGGCCACATTGCTTGACAGCCTTTTTGAGAGTGTGACCAAAGTGGTTTTTAACGTTTTTAACGTGAAAGAGCTAAAAGCGGCAGAAATCCGGAAAAATCGGCACGCTTAGGTTTCTCATTAAGCGGGAACTCAAATCCTCGTCCCTCTTCCCCTTTTAATAATTATTTCGATCGTATAATTTCTCTCCAAGGCCGATCATAACATAATATCGGATATCGAAACGATGATTTCAAAACATCCATTATCGAAATGAATCGTTGCCATCTCACCATCGATCCGCTGAATCCTGTAGCCACCATTAATATCCCATTCTTCTCCATTTCTGCAAAACAAACATAGAAACACAGTAATCAAAAATAGATGCTTGAAAATAGTCAAAACTATGGTAAAAAACAAACTTGCAGCGACATTTGAATACTCCGTCTGTTTCAAGTGTTCCAAGTCTTCATCAAAGTTTTCAAATCTTGTATCAGTTTTCAATTCTAATCTTAGATACGTCAATTAAGGGTGAGCCACCGGCACGCCAATGTCTTAAGAATGAATTCACATTAGATACCGATGAAATTAAATTAAAACATACGCAGGCGAGATCTGCGGTTCGTAAGGTACTTTCCAGGGCCGCGCGAACGCAGCCCCGTTACGCAAAAATTGAGCTGTTGGCGAATCTCAACTCGAGACTGCCACACAGGTCAGCCCATCCTAAAGTGCAATGGATAGGCCTCGCCATGGGGATGCCGCCTTCATGATCGCGGAATGCCCCCAGCCAGGTAAGTTTATGAGTGGCCGAGCTGTGGGAGTAGGGGTAGTGAGTGTACCGACATCTCCCGGGTTCCGCCGTCCGCTATGTTTTGTGTGCAAAGTGGGCGGAGCCTTATCCTTGTGTGGAAGAAGGAGGAAAGAAGAATATGGCGATTCTGTTTAGAAACTTTTTCCTGGCTTTTCTGGAGACATTAAAAGAAGACAATTTTAAGTGTAAATATGATTTATTTTTATCATAGAACATTGAATACAATCAAAGTAGAAGTACAAGTACTGTTTGAAATAAGAATAAATTAATCAAAAGTTATTCAGTTGGTTTCTGTTCAATGCTTGATTGAGTGATTGGAATTGATCTTCCTTGGACTGCGATTTTCTTCGGAGCTTCAATTGAAAGTTTTCCATCTTCTGAAAGATTCGAAGCGACGGCTCCAATGTCGACGTCTTCTGGGAGAAGAATGATTCTGGAGAAGGACTTTTTCGAGTGGCCATGCTCATCCTTCACTTCCTGTTCTCCTTGAATTGAAAGCGTTCTTCCATCCAAGTTGATTTTCAAATCTTCTGGTTTGAACTGGGAGACGTTGAGGTTGATGGCAAACTTTTGATCATTGTTAACAATCTGAAAATATGAACGTAGGGTCTGTAGAGAAGAATTAGAGAATTCACTTACCTCTGAAGCAGCCGCTGGAGCTTCAAATGCAGAAATTGGGATGAATTGTCTTTCCATTCGAGCAATATCTCTCATCATTTCTCCAATTACAGAGAATGGTCTTGGACGGAAAAATGGGTAGAGTGACATTTTGGGAGTTGAATCTGAGAAACTGAATGTAGGTTAAGCAGAGGTTCCATGTCTCAGTATTTATATGTTTTGCAAGGCCTTTCTAGAATCTTCCAGCTGTTTCTTTTGGCCTCTTTCATCATTCGAACGGACAACAACAAAGGAGAAAGCGCGCGGTTGGAAGAGACGCAGACACTTTCTTGTCTGCGTCTCTCATTGTGTTGAGGGAGCGTGTACCTTCAGGAATGTTCTAGAAAGTCATCAGGGTTTGATATATATAGACTGGTTCAGATGAGAGCAACATACTTTTTTGAAAAGTTCCAAACCTTCTTCCACTTCAAAAATGCTTCTTCTCCATTCCCCATTCTCTCGTGATAATTGCAATATGGATCAGTTCTTCGATGATATGACTCGTGGGTCCCTTCTTCCATATTGGAGAGATGCTGACCATAATTCATTCAATTTCTCGGATACTATTGGAGAAGTAAGTTTTTTTTCTTTAAAAAAATTTTTGATTGACAAATTTCAGATCATCAATGATGATACCAAGTATGCTATTCAACTGGATGTCTCTCACTTTAAACCAGAAGACCTCAAAATTGAATTGAATGGAAGAGAGCTGAAAGTCGAAGGATCACAAGAAACCAAATCAGAGCACGGATACTCGAAGAGATCGTTCTCCAAGATGGTTCTTCTTCCAGAAGACGTCGATTTGACTGCATTGAAATCAGCAATTTCAAACGAGGGAAAATTGCAAATCGAGGCACCGAAGAACACAAACACTTCTCGTTCCATTCCAATCAATCGTGTTGCAAATCATTAAAAATGTGTGAATTTGAAATTTACATAATTTTCTAATTTATATTTGTCACTGTTTATTTTTCTGGCTTTAATAAAATTCTATTTTTATTGAAAAACGTTTTTTACAATTTGTAAAAACAGGATCATATGCTTGAAGAAACAAGTTCCCACAATTGATGTATTACTCTGGTACAAAAAATCCAAACTGTGGAAGAGGAACGACGGGATCCATGACCAAAGGTTCCACAGCGACAACTACCGTAACCTAAAAAATTTTATTTTCCGCTCAGTCAATTTTCCACTATCAAAAATAGTTGTTTTCCAACTTTTTCTGGAAAAAAATAACAGAAAACTTGACGAAAAGCATTGAAATTGAAATATAAACAAAAAAAACGAGAATTAAAAATGTGTTTTAGGTTACGGTAGTTGTCGATTTGAGACCCAATTTTCGTATCAGAATAATATGTATCTCAAGTGTTATGTCTCCAGAAGTTTCTGTGTCACGAACTCCGACAAACAAAGAATGAAAACGCTCGATTGTTATTCAGTTGAGCATGATTCGGAGCACTAATTAGCTCCCTCGAGATTTGACTAGACAAGCACCTTATAAGAATTTCTCTTCACAACTCTACTACTACTACTCAAAATAAAACCCTTGCCAAAACGTGTCTCCTCTTCGGCTCTTCATTCATTTTCGTTCCTTCTCAAGAACCGTCGATTAAAGGGTGTCATTCGTCACAAGTATCCCTGCTGGCTCGCCACTGAGCCCTTTCCGTTTTTCTCTCCTCCCGATGGACATAATGCCATATACTAGTAGTACTACGCTTCAATCTTTTCGCTTCTTCCTTCCAAACTTTTGTTCCTCCTTCTGCATTCCTTTAACTGGCTCATCCTCCCCCACCATCTCTTTCTATCTCTTCCTGCTTTCAAAAATATTGTTTCGGTCTCTCTTTGCGCTATCTTGGCCTTTTCCATCTATTCACCCCCTTTTTTGCTTCGAATCACACATCGATCCGATTGTTATGCGTGGCAAAAATGGTTTGTCTAACTGTCTGATTCACTTTTTCGAAGACTTCTCGCTGCTGCTTTGCGGACGAAATGATGTACAACTGGATGGAGAGGCTCAGCGACGACGCGGAGGTATGCCTTTTTCATCGCCCATATAGATGATGCAGCCATCTCCTTTGAAATATCATATTATTCATGCAGGTGCCAACACCACGGAGGGTACAACCATGCCTGTCAGTGGCATTTGAATACGTCGAAGCGGAGAACGAATTCAATTTCTACATTAGGAATGTGAGTTTTTTAAGAAGAAGCTAATTGGTTCATACTTAATTATGAACTACCGTAAACCTGTAATAGAAGGGCCCTCCTAACTTTCAGCTTGGAGCCAAATGTTCATAGTTCCTGTTCAAGATATGAAAAAGATGTCAACTGACGAATTGGTTATCATAATATCACAGGAATTTTACCAGTTTTACTTTTTATAATTTTACTTTTTGACTTTTTCAACAGCAAATCAGATATATGGGCTCAAAGTTGCCTGTGTGAGGGCCCTTTTAGAGGTTTTACTGTAATTACTTTATTCCAGGTTACCAATTACCCGATGACTCCAACTCTTCACAAAACAGAATCACGAGCTGTCATGCATCTGGTCAAAGGAATTTCCAGAAAGACTTCAGTCATGGGATGGGCAAGAACCATCACCTGGCAGGTATTGCCACATAAATTTCTCATTTTCCCAAATATTTGAATTCAGGACATAAAAGAAAAGGACCCATTCACATATCAAACCCTAAATGTTGTTCGGGCATCGACCACAATCTACAACGAGTTCTTTACATGCAAAGTAACACCGCGGGAATTCAAAAATACACTTCTGCGAATTCAAATTTGTGACATTGACGAGTACGATCAGAATGTAGTTGTCGCTGAAATGGATTATTGGATCAATACGCATATCATATCACAGTTCACTCAATTTGAGCTACCGTTTCCTCCGTTCACACCGGATATAGGTGAAATCGAGTTGCACATGACATATCTGCCAACTTCTCAACGGTTAATTGTTCACTACTCAACGGTTACGAATCTGAAACTGGATGAGGCATGTAAAGGTTAGTCTCGATGATTTCAAAAATACTGCGTTCAAGCTATTCGATGCCCGACGACTAGAAAAATATCAGGCTTGGACTGATAAAAAGATTTCGGACTATCGGATAATCGGTTACTTTCCGAAGATTTCGCTCCCAATTAAAATGTCTGGGAATTCTCCGAAAAAAAAAGTTATCCAAAAAATTTGGTTCGGCAAATCCAATGGATAATTTTTCCAAAACTGATAAACTTGGAAAATCTAATATTTGACTCTGAATACGCCTGTTCAATACAGATCTTAAATACAATACCACATAATTTTTTGTTGAAAGTTCGGCTGGTATCCAGGACATGTAAGGCGGGATTGCCGAAAAGCGGACGAACGGCGTCTGAAGATCTCATTGTAAGAATAAGCTGTAGCTTGCGTCTTTGAGCGAATGGGAAAACACTTGTGATATAAAAGACAAACATAGTTAATGGAACATAACGAAAAAACAAATTCTGATAAAAATAGGAAAATATACTTTTTGATTTTAAGGGTTAAAAAACATTTTTGGGAGAAACATAGCTTTTTCATTATGGTCTGATTACTAATTATTGCCGGGCATACTTTATTACACAAAGTTTCCTTATTTGCTTGAAGACGCAAAGTATAGACAACTCTTGAATCTCCAGCCGCCGTCTCTATGCTTTTCAGCAACCCCGCACATGTGGAAATGCATCTTTTTTTCCACTCTGGAAATCACACCAGAATCTTCTCAAACTTAACTAATCTCCAAGAGCTAGCACATAAATCAGCTGGCATTCTGTCGTTTCGACAGGTTCGTGAGACAGCCGTTAAAAATAAAATATAATGGGGTTGCCTCTCTATCTTTCTTTCTGAATTTTTGAGTTATTTTTAGAAGTTCAAAGGCAAGTTCTTCTGATGAGATAGTGATGATTCACGTGCATTCTGAAGATTCCATACGGTTACATAGCCTAATGAGACATTTCCAGAAATCTATGTACACGGAGTTCTGTTTGTGGGTGGAAGGCAATTCGAAAGACATCAATCGGAAACAAAGTGAGATTAAAACCAATTATCTCTTCAAAACTATCCGTGTTTTCAGAAAACGAGCCGAAAATGCGTGCACCGATGATGGCATGCATTTCACTCACAAGCTAATCTTTGATTTGGATCGAAAATATGTTCCGAAGGCTGAAGTGCTGATTCACGTGATGCAAGTTGTGGAAGAAAAGTGGGAACCTTCGGAACCAACCTCATTAATATCTTTTTTGCAGAAAACTGGTCGTCGGCCAGGTGACACTTTCAATGCTCCACTCGGGACAATGCAAAGAAATGCTCAAGGCTCTTCGGACGACAATTTCTCGCGTTCATCGTTTAACTCCAAGTGCTGGTTGAAATAATAAAAATTGTCTGTGATCGTATTTTGTTGGGAGGTAGATGGAAACATTTGAAACTCTTCGGATTGCCCAGCTGACTGGGTGTTCTTTGTAGGGGAGCGGGAGCGTGAGCGCAAAGAACGATTGAAAATGTGGTGTGGAGAAAATTGTTTACAAGTCAGAGTCCGGAGGAAACCAAAATATCTATTCAGGAAAACTGTTCTTCGCTTTTACAGGTTTTCTTTTTTTCGATATTGGTCTGTAAGAACAGTTGTCTAGGTTTTCAAGTTTTATCAAGACCATGTGAGCTCCTAAATAACTAGCACATAAATCAGTCCAGGTCAGAAGATAACTTGAAGTTTTCAAAAATAATGGGTTTAGTGTACTCAGAACGTTTTGAGTTATTTCGAGAAGCGAGAGCAATACTTAAAGTTCTAAGCAGTCAACCTAAAAACCACGAACTTCCCGGAAGAGCTACTCTTCCTTGATTAAAATGTTTTCGAAGAGTCATCTCGCCAAAAAAGCTCAGAATCGAGTGTTTCTCATCCGATTGAAAGCTGAACTTTACGATTTCAGTTCAATTGTTGAGCGTTTTTTTTTTGTTGAAAACAAGTGAACCTTGACAAGTTCAGGATCACAATTTCACTATCCAGAGAACGTCCATCGGCTCTCCGCAGCACAGAACGATCATCACATGTCTTCCTCAAATAAACTTCCAAAAGAAAAATTTTATGATTTCTGATCGTTTGTTCTCTTTGTATTCCACCCTATCCACATTTTATGGTAATATTGTTCCTGGTTGGTAACTGTCAATTTATTCAAAAATTATAATTACTTCCTACTTCGCTCATCTCCTGTCATTCCATTCGAATAGATTCTTTGAACTGTTTGTATTCAATTTCATTCAGTTCCTTATCTTCACCGTACAGTCTTATCGAAATTTCTTTTTTCAATTTTTCCTCTTGGCTCTAGACACCATTTAAAATGAAAGCACATGGTTTGTACCATTTGTAACTGTCTTGCAAAAGACTTATCATACACGACACCACAGGCCAAACGCATCAAAACCGATACAAACAAAGAAAAAAGAATAATGTGTCTCCTACGAGAGAGCATAAAAGACGAAGAGACGCAGTGTTTAGATGGAGATCATGATGTTCACGTGTTCCGGAGAGACCTCTCCGAGAAGCGGGTGCAAAGAACTGCAAACCGTAGAGACCACAGAGAATAAGAGGAAACCATACGAGAGATTATGAGACGCAGATGATCAAGAGATGAGGTGGGAGGTTACCGCGGGCATAGAGGACAGCTGATATATAAATACACTGTGTAGGACCTACCCAGATACATCTTGGCACTTTCCAATTAGTTTTTTTTCTGTTCTAATCTTCAATTGGATTCTTCACTCTTTTTTGAAAAGCAATATCAGTACATTTTTGCATTAGGGACATGTGACCGAGTTGTTGTCATGTTATTTTCTTTCTTCCCATTCGGAAGACGCGAATTCCATGCCCCTCCCTCAATTAACTAGAGCTCCTTTTTTTTAACCCATCGGTTCTTTTTCAGTGCTTTTTCCACACTTCTTCTCACTTTGTCACCACACTTTTTCTTCCATTCTTATTCTTCTTTTTTTCAGAAGATGTCATCGATTGTCGTTGGATCTGGAGCTCTTGCCGAGACTGTTGTCGGACTTTGTGAGTTGACTTTGGAATCATTGGGGTTAAATGTTATGTTTACAGTGTGTGCTGCCGGAAGACGTGTTTCTTTGGTGGCCCCAAGTGGGAAGGTCAATGCCCAGAAGTTTGACTCGACTGTCATCAAGGCTATTCTTCAGGAGGATTCTGAAAAGAAAATTCCATTCGAGTTCATTGATGATCTCAGAGTGAGTTTTATTTTCGTTTTATTAGTTTTATTATTTTATTAGTTTTATTTTCAGAGTGAGTTTTTTTTACTAGATTCTAACCCAGAAAAATCAGATTTCTAAATATTTTTTTTCCAGCAACAACAAAAACTTGCTGAGAAGAACTTCAAGAAGATTAATGTGACAACCGATCTTTCAAAAATCGAGGCTGCTGATCAAATCATCGACGCTTGCTCTGCCGATGAGATGTCTCTCTTCACTCATGCTACAAAAGCAGTTCCAAACGCTACAATCATTTCTTTGAATGGAGACAAATCCCCAATTCATTCCGATCACGTGTCAGTCAAGTTGTACAGTCCAATTCGTGAGACAAAGACTGCCAAGGTATCCGATAGGAGAATAAAAACTTTATATGAACCTGTCCAATTTATAGATGTTTACCAACGCTAAAGTCTCCAAGAAGACTCTCGAAGAGGTCAACCAACTTTTGGATTCCATGGGCTTCACTGTATTGAGTGAGGAAGATTCTCAAGTTGCCGATCGTCTGGTTCAGGATATGCAACAAGTTGAGAAGTCACGTCCACTCTCAAGACTTGCCTCGATCCTTGTGAATCCATTGAACACTCCAGTCACTCCACAAGTGCCAAAAGAGCAATACTTGCTCTTCTAAATAAATTTCGAAAAATGCTTTACTGTACATGTTCGCTATATTCAAGACCTACTGTATATCAGTTTGTTTGTAATAAAATGGGAAGCTTGAAGATTTTATTTAATCAAATTTTTAAAAACACTGAATTTAGTAATCAAAATGGCAGGAACTGTTGTGAGGAATGAAGACTTTGTCTAGATCCCCTTGCTGTGGATAATGATCACTGTAAAGAGTGATTCCACTGATTCCAGATTTTATATTCAGATCTTTGAAGAACTTTTGAAGTGCTGTAAAAGATCCATCTAGAATTCCAACCAGATAGAAAACCAGTGTTGCATTTGGATGTTGATCGAGCATTACATCCGAAATAGCTTTCATTGCATGGAAGGCAGTATCTGTGGAGTTTGCGAACAGCGGTGAAATTTTGAACAAATTTTTCTCTGAAAAAGAAAATATGGAACAAGAAAGAAACATTGTCAGATAACCTAAATGGCCTGTAGGAACTGCAGAAATTACACTAACATTATTGTCAGTCTTGTCGTAGAAGACAATTCCAAAAGTGTAATCCAACTTTTTGAAATAAATCTCGAGGAATTCATGACGATCTCTACCTGTCACACTTTGATCGTACTTCAAGAACTGTTCCCATTCCTCCTTTGACAAATCTTTCACAAATTTTTGGGTCTAAATTAAAGTTTATTGTTTTCGTTGTATTCGGAATACTCACCAAGTCCAAACTTTTATAGTTCATCAGTGCAGCGTGAAAGTCATTTGAGCTGATTCGAAAGTTTTCCAGCAGCGGTCCGTCTACTGGAGTGTCATGTGCTTTATACTTGGGGACCATGTTCAACACTGAAACAGTTTTTAACTAATAATCCCGATCGAATTATAAGAATACCTCCTCTCAGAGCCAAAACTTTATCTTTCGGGATCATTGCCATTGCATGTTGCCAGATCACAGAACCGATTCCTTTACACGATATTCTGGAGCTAGCAAGTAGAATCCAAGAAAACAAATGTCATCGTATTCATTCCAGACAACACTTCCGACCATATTTCGTTCGGCTGAAAAGTCATTTTTTTGTGACATATATCATAATGATTTTTAACAGTGATTACTGCAATCTCATTGCAAAAAATATCGTGCGTTCAGAAAACTTGATAAAAACAGACTCACATGTTTTGGTAACTGCCCAAACACTACGGGTGGACTTGAGAGATGGGAGAAGATCGGTGACTGAATTATCATCGGATAACCATTCTTCTGTGTTCACCATATGTTTCCATTGTTTCCAGAGATGGCTGGTTGGAGCTGGGTTTTCAATAATATCAAAGTCAACGTCTTTGACTTTCATAGACATTATTAGTGAGGGAATCATAAGAATGAAACTTTTTAGAAGTATTATTATCGGGGTAAATGACATCAGAGAGCAATAAAAGTTTCGAAGAAAAGGCTAGCTGATAAGATATGCATACTGAAAGATTCTCTGTAAGAAAGAGAGTATGAAAGCGTAAAGTCACAGAAATGCATTGAAAATATTTGAAGTTCAAACTTTGTATCTATATTGTATAGACTATACATTGAAACACATAACACTAGTTATCTAGTAATCAAAATGACATGAATTATTATGTGGAATGAACACCTTGTTAAGGTCTCCCTTTGGTGGATAATCATTGTTGTAGAGAGTGATTCCACTGATTCCTGCTGTGATATTCAGATCTTTGAAGAACTTGTGAAGCACATTGAAAGATCCGTCCGGAATGTTCACCAAATGAAAGATAAGCGTTGCATTGGGATGTTTTTCGAACATGACATCGGAAAGAACTTTCATGGCATGGAAAGCAATATCGTTGGAGTTGGCGAACAAAGGACATATCTTGTAGAAGTCTTTCTCTAAAAATTCGGACATTCGGAAGGAAACTTTTGTAAAATCTTCACCTCTATGTCCAGTTGGAACTGCAGAAATTACACTAACAATATTGTCAGTCTTGTCGTAGAAGACAATTCCAAAAGTGTAGTCCAACTTTTTGTAATAAATCTGGAGGAATTCATGACGATCTCTACCTGTCACACTTCGATCGTATTTTAAGAAATGTTCCCATTCTTCCGTTGACAAATCTCTTACAAACTTTTGATTCTGAAGCGGGATTTGAGATCTAGTTGTTTTCGAAATCACCCACCAATTCCAGATTTTCATAACTTTTCATAGATTCGTGGAAACTTTTTGAGCTCATACGATAATTCTCCAACAAGGGTCCATCTACTGGAGTATCCCTTGCTTTGTATCTTGGGGCCATTTTAACCACTAAACCGAGTACTTATTTATTTTGGTGCCACTCTGGAACTCACCTCCTCTCAAAGCCAGAACTAAATCTTTTCTGATTCTAGACATTGCTCGTTCCCAGATGATAGATCCTATCCCTTTTCCACGATATTCGGGACACAACAAGTAAAATCCAAGCCAACAGATGTCATCGTATTCATTCCAGACAACACTTCCGACAAAGTTTTGTTCTGCTACAAAAAAAAGAATTTTTTGACAGCGTCTCTGATATAGAAGATACAGAACGGGAGATAAAAAAAAATACTCACGTGTTTTGGTAACTGCCCAAACACTTCGAGTAGACTTGAGAGATGGAACCAGTTCAGTTACTGAATTATCATCGGATGTCCATCCTTCAGCATCAACCAAATGTTTCCATTGTTTCCAGAGATGGCTGGTCGCAGCTGGGTTTTCAATGATTTCGAAAGAAACTTCTTTCATTTTTCCAAGTAGGAGAATAGTCAAAAATTCTCTTCATTCGATAGCATTTTATAGGACAAAATGCTATCAGTTCACGGTATCGTCTGCTGATAAGGTCAAAGAAATGGATGGCTACAAAATGCATAATCAATTGATCGAGAATAGATCAAATAGTTGATGAAGTTATGAAAACTGGACAAATCATAAGAGCACAAAAATCAATCTAACGAGAGAAACGAGCAATAGAAGTGTCATTTTAAAAAGAGCGAGTTGTGAATGAAATTAGTTTAAAATTCTATTAAAATGTTTCTCGATAAGTTGGCTATGTATTTTGTAGCCACCTGTAAAAAGTGCTATCAGATCGCAATAAAACTTACGTCTGATGATAAGGTCACAGAAAGATATAGCTACAAAAGTCATAATCATTTGATCAAGGATAGATCAAATAGTTGTCAAAGCTATGAGAACAAAAATGCTTTTAGGATGATTAGTTTACCTGACAAAAATGAAATTTGAGAAAGCTGAAGAAAAAAACAAGAAGAAAATAGCAGAGGGTATTTTGAACGACGCTCATTCAGAACTCGCTCTATCAATTATGACTCTCCCATTGCTCGTTGCTCTCGTTGGGCTGACTTCTTGTATTCTGTGATTTGTATAAATTGCCTAACAATCACAAGAACAAACAGGAATACAATCAAAAAACATATTTCCTTGATTCTAATTTATTCACGATGCCATCTGGATATTTTTGTAGGATTCTCAGGTGATATTCCGTTTTGAATAAATTCTGATCTATTAAGTGATTTCAGTGATAATCTATATTGGTGTGATTATCAGGAAAGCACTTGATGCCAACAAGGTCACTGTGAAGTCTACCTATTTCGTCGTTTTCTCGTCTCCTCCCTCTGATTTTTTATGGCCGATTCGATTTATTCTATCAGTGTTCATTTTATTTTGGAGAATAATTGTTTGTTTGTGTCCTAAAAAAGTCTACGAAGATATTTTCAGATTCTCGCCCGCCCGCAGTTTGCTAAATCATGTTCACCGAAAATTGCATGTTCTACTATACTGATCCTTTCTCTGGCTTTTAGTAAGTTAAAAGTGCCACAATATAAATCACAGCTATTGTAGTTCAGGTATCACTGACGTTCTTGTTTTTTTTCTCGGATGTCTTGTTCAGTTAACTGCTCATCCGGGATGCATGGCACTTGGCTGTATGGCGGGACCTTGTTTCGCTCATTATGCTACCATAAATAGAACAGTATGAAATGAATTCCATCGTCAAATGTCACTATTCTGTTTTCAGATTCTCTTCTCCCTAACTTTCCTTTGTGTTTTTATTCATTCAATCCTTATTTGCTTCTATGAGATCAAGGAAACAGGCGAGAAACGAATTGAAAAGGTCCGTTTTTGATTCCCACGGTCTTTTTTGTTCCATATTCTCTCAAAATCAAATATGACTGATTACTGGTTCCTTCTCTGCATGTTCAATACCACCATCTTCGATTGTATCCCATTTGCGATTAATATCATTCGAGGAGCAGATGTGAGTGTGAGGTTAGGGGATAAACGTTTTGCGAATTTCCAAATTTTAGAATTTTGGCCCCTTCATCAGCACTCTCAACATGTTGGGAGCGTGTTTCGAAGCTGTCGTTGTCTCGAAAATTTTCGAAACATATCAATTATCCTAAACTTCCTCTTCAAGTTATAATAACAATGTTTTGAACCGGACATGAACTACTTTGTATTTGTCAGAACCGTTTTGAAAACAGACATATAACATTTGGAATGATAATTAAGAAGCGAAGAATAAACCAAAGAGAATGTGGCAAGTAGAAAGGTAAGATCAAAGTAAACACCAGACACGGGGAGCGAGATCAAAAGACACCCAGAATTCATAAGTTTTTCTAGATTCGGTTAGGCCATCGACGTCTTCGGAGATGTTTTTGCTAGCGACGTGCATGTTGAATCCGATTTCTGGAGCAGTCGTCGTTTGTTGAGATCGGTCAGACTATTATCCGGAAGGTCCCGACGCTTCCTGGAAAATAATTATTGATGAAAATGAACGGAGGCGGCGGGTTGCTCACTTGAATAAATAAAGTAAAATGTTCCGGAATCTAGCGGAGAAAAAGTAATAAATAAAGAAAGTGGTTCCGATGTGAATGATGATGAGAATGTTCGAAACCTCAATCATCACTTCGAAATATTCGTTCTGAAAATATCTAGGTTGAGATCAGACCTAAACACTTTCCAAACTTACATGTCTAGTCAGAAAATCCTTGAATATACTCTCAAACATTTTCAATGCCATACTGAAAAAGTGGCAAAATCCAAAGAGCACAGTCACAACCAATAACATCACAGTTGTATTTTGCTCTTTTTGAAGCTGAAAAGTATAAATAATTGAATAGAAATCAAAAAAAACTGAGCACAAAGGACAAAATGTTCCCAAAAATGCTTACCGAAGTTGTCAGAAGTGCTCTCTCCTTCCGTGACTTTCTCAACTCATTGATCACTTTCATATTGGCAACAAACATGATGATGAATGGAAGGAGATAATCAAAAATAACAGAAATGCCAATAAAATATGTGATGTAATACCACCAATGCTCATCTGCATCCAGGATTCCTCGTTTTGGCCAGTACCCAACTGTATCCGAGTAGCCGATTTGATACTCGAAGAATTTTGGAGAGTTGAGAATAATTGAAAATGTGATGATGGCAGTCACGATTCGGACAGAGTTTTTGAATGTGCACCAGATGTGAACCTGAAATTTTATTCATCCAGATGTTCCCGAAATTCAATGTTATACCTGAAGAGGTCTGCACACTGCAATCCAACGTTCTACAGTAATAACCACCATAATGTAGAGACTTGCAGTTTTTGCAGTCATGCATAATGGATAGAAAAACTTGGTCGAGAAAGCAATAAACATTCGACGCTTTGACCAAGGACCATACACATTATCCCTGGAAAGTCAAAACTATAATAGAATCCTTGAGAAACATCCTTACTTACCAGATCGGAAGATATGAGATACTGTATATTGGCAGCGCGAAGAGAAGGACAAAAATATCACAGATCGAGAGTGAGTACAATAGGAAGGCTACTGTAGATTTTCGCATGTTTGGAGTAGTGTAGACATATAAAGAAAGCCCATTTCCTATCAATCCTACCAATATTATGGGTAAATATATCATAGAGACGTATTCCGGCCATCCTGTCAATTGCATTCTAAACTTGGAGCCAAGTCTGAAAATGGAATTCTAATTAATTCAACTGGATTCTGAAAGCTTCGAGAATGTGTCAGTTGCACTTGTGGGAAATATCAAGAGATGAGGAATTCAAAAAGAATATAATAAAAAATAGCAGACAAGGAAACATATGGATGAAAGCGAGAAAAAAGCGTCGGCGAGTAAATATTTTGGAACATTTGTGATTCCATTGTGCCCAGGAACTTTTCAACTATTTTTCTCTTCTGCTGTTAGAAGAGGGATAACTCGAAAACACATCAGACGACACATCGAGACGTTTTATTTAAAAACAGAAAGGAAAATGGTAATTAAAAGAGAATGGCAATTACCGGGGAGAGACTTGACGTTCACTGTCTGGCACATTTTGAAGAAGGGAAAGTGCCAAGAACTACACAAAGTTCGAAAGAAATTGGCACACAAATAAAGAATGAGAAAAAGTTGAAATCTGATCGGCAAATGATAGGTGAGAAGAAGGAAGTAGGGAAAAAGGAAGGAGATCCCAACATTGGTTTCCTCTTTTATTAAAAAAATATTTTCCGAAATTTCCCCTTTAAAGGAAGAGGTTCTTTAGTGTGGTAGATTCTGAAACAGAATTTCGATCTATTCAAACTGAGTTCAATTCTAGAAATAGCAATCCTAGGATGGATTCTAAAACGGTGAATAGAAGGAAATAAAGAGGAAATGAGAGCTATGATCCAATGGCTCAAAAGAGCAGCTGAATCTGAAATGTAGCTTTTTTCAATTTGAAAAGTTTTGAGCAAAACACAAGTTCTGGAAAAGAACTCTGAAATTTCTTATGACTGTCATAAATCAAATGATTTATTAACCTTTCCCCGATAGTTGAGTAGTTCAGTTAAAAATGATAGTGAGTCTAGAAATAATAAATAACGGCCCAGTTGTTTAAATTTATGACTGTAAATTATAGTCGAGGGCGGTGTATCAGAAATAGTGACGTGATGTTGATTCTGGAAGAGAAGGAGTTGGAGATTTTTAGAACACAAGTTGATTCAGAAGAAAACTTTTGTAGGGGGTAGTTTTTTTTTGTTGATAAGGATGTTATCAATATGATAGCATGTAGTCTAGGACTAGAAATACAGTTAAAGATGGTGTACGGTTTGTGCAGAAAATTATGTAGATTGTAGATCGGCATGTGTTTTTTTGAGATATTCTGATTAAAAAAAAAATTAACTAATACAAAACAATAGATAGAAAATTCGCCGTACACCACATTCGAAAACAAAACGTTCTGGTTTTTTACTACTTATCAGAAAAATACGGACAATTGTCAGAAAAACGAATATGCCCTTTTCAGGTGAAAATGAAAATATTTTGAATTGGAAAACTAGTTCTTGGAGCTTGGTCTGGAAAAAATATTGGTTTCAATGGAAACCTAGTTTAATGCGTAGCCAAAGAATGGAGAGCTGTTTTGGCAAATTTGACGAAAAGCAAGAAATCTCTATGGAAGATAAATGAAGACAACAAAAAGACAGATTTTCACAATTTTCGATGAGGGAGTTCAAAAATAAGTGGATATGTCAATATACGGATTCCTGGAACTCTGACCCGGAAAAAAAAGACAAAAATCAGATGAAAGAAAAACAGACTAGATTTTCTTTGAACCCAAAAAAAGATACAAGAAGTGTGACGGGCAGAGATTATCTAATTAACCAACCCGAAGATTCTCACATGTGGTCTCTAGTTCTTTTTTTCCAGTTATCCTCCGTTTCGGTTTTATAACGTGGCAATGAAGAAGACTTGCGTGATAACTTCGAATTAGGAAGAATCTAGATGCAGAGATTCTGGATGTATAATTAGGACTTGCTCACAAAATTTTGCCACTTCAGCAGTCAAATTAGTTCAAGAGTTCGAGAAACCAGAAAATTAGTTTTTTTAATCAAAGGGACACATAATCAAAGGGACACAATGGGATCTTCAGAATTCCCAAATCTATCCTCATAACTGATTCATAATTTTCCCACCAACGTGTTCGATGGTTTCTCACTTCAAGAGAGAGCTTCTGACGACGACATAGGAAAAAAACGGATTTTGGAAAAGTGTTGTAGGAGAAGAAGGGAGGGATGCTTTCGAAGTCAAGAGACCTCTCCTTTTCGAAGTTTTCAAGTTTCGAATTTTGCAGAGTTTATGATTCGAATAATCATGTTTGAAAAGCTAGGAGGATCGTGCGAAAATGTGTAAACTACTAATCCCAATTTCAAAAAACTTGCAAAATAATCTTGAAGGCTTTATGCTTTGACTATCGTAAACATCCGAAGTCTAGACGAAGAAAACTGAGGACAGAAAGATTCTCCCACATCTGAAAACGTCATAAATGGCGATTACTCAAATCGTTCGAGGATTTTTCAAAAATCTTGTCCTCCCAAATTAGTTCAATTTGAACGAGCGTGCCTGGTGAATGACACATAGGTTCGACCTTGCACATTCCAGACAAACAACAACTGAAAATTGAGTTTGTCTTAAAATGCATGTTCAGAGAATATGAAGAGAGAGGAAGGTTGAAGAATGAAGAACAAAACGTACGCAGTATGATTTCTGATATGTTATGAATGTCAAAAGTTCCAAGATCATAGCAGAATTGATATTTTATGAAGAAAATGGAACTTCCGCGTACAAGAAGTATTGCAGAAAGAATTTTGGGCTCCGCGTCACTTCGAAACCAGTCATTTCGATAGTGGTTATTTCGAAACTACGGAAATACAGTAGAATGGTTACAATTCTTTTTTTTTGCAAGCATAGGATTTTCAAGTATGCATTTTCTGATAGAAAACATTATGAAACTCGAAAAACGCTAAAAAATTGTTTTTTGAACAAATTAAAATTTGGATTTTTTCAAATGTCAGGATGTTTTCTATGGAAAAAAAACATATTTGAAAAGCCTATGATTGTCTTTATAGTGTGAAATGTAGCCATTCACCTATATTACCACAGTTTCGCAAAGGCCCGGTTTGGAAATGACTGGTTTTGAAACGTCTCTGTTCCAAAGTGACGCGGAGCCGAATTTTGAAAGCGGAAACCATAGAAACTGAAACATAGTCATTTGACACAAGTTGGTACATGAGAGTAATTGTTTACACAGAAAAAGTATATGTGTTTCTCAAAACTCTCAAAGTTTTATGATAATTATATAGGGATAATTGGTTTCCAAGAACTTAAGCACACTTTGATAAATAGAAGACTACGACAAACTGATGTAAGCACAAATTATAAAACATCTCCCAATATTTACATTCTTGAGCATACAAACTGACACTCTGAAAATGGCAGGTCCTAAGTTCTTGGAATAATGAATATGCTCAAAAAACGTTCATTGAAACGCTAGTGATGTCAGATTAATTTCTAAAGAGCTCTGAAAATACCGTTGTAGAAATATAGAAATTTGCAGGTTGAGCTTTTGGCTTCAATTTTCTCGAATGCTCAAAATTTGCTTGTTTTCAAAAAAAACCTGTTTTCTGATCAAGGATTTCACAATTACAGAATTTTAATTACGCATCCAATTTTGGATTTGATCAATTCCTGAAATGAGGCTCTCAACAAATGTTTGCTCATATTTGCAACGGGCCGGGCCGGGCTTTTTTTTTCGAATTTGTCAAGGCCCAGCCCGTTTGGGCCTAGGTTTTCAGTAATTTTCGAAAAAAAATTCCGGGTTCAAAATGAAAAAACGAACTCTCTGCAAAAAAATGTTTACAAAAACGGAGTGTAATTAAAAATTTGAAAAAAAAATCTGACATGTTTTTCAAGTATGGGTTTGTGTTTCACTTTGAAAACAAAAAAAGGTTTTGAGTTTCCGCATGTGTTTTCTTTTTTCCTATGTGTGATGTCGTGTTTTTAAAGGATGCACCTTATAAGAGGAGCAAAAAAACAGAAAATTCGATTTCAGATGTCTTTTTCTGAAATTCGCTTGGATGTGTTTATGACGTAATATTTTTGCGTAGACGTCAATAGATTAGGAGCTTCACTTCTAAAAAGTTGTCTTTTTTAATAAGCTCTAGGCTTTTGGGATTGCACAGAAAAGACTTTTCATTTTCACAGATTTCTTATGATGTGTGAATAGGAAAAAAGGAAGTGAAGAATCGAATGAAAAGGATAAAAGAGTATAAAGATTGATGAATGTTTCATGAGTCAGGTAATCCAAGATCTTTGTCACATAAACTATGAGATATATGAGATTACTCGGAGAAGAAATCTGAAAAAACTACAAATATCTTCAGAAAAGAAAAAGTAAGCAGAAGACATAAAAAAGGGGGCATGGGGGAGGATTGGAACATAAACAGAGGGGAGGTCTGGATGTCAGAATGAGTTCTCATCAAGCAAAAAGAGAGAGATGTAACAAGAAGAAAAAAAGGAACTCTCTGACTCAGATGGTTTTATCTTAAGCTACTTTGTTCCCATTTGTTCCAATTTGTTACCTTTTTATTGAACAAAAAGAAGTGGTCTAAAACTTGGACCTCAAAATGGTATTTTTCATCGGAAAGTGGAACAAATCTAAATAGAGAAAGAAAGTCTGTTGCTTGATTTCTTTTCTCTGTTTTTGAATATCTCAATGACATTGTTGATGAAAGAGTGATCACACAAAGCCACCAATGACGATGATGACCCCAAGGTTTTAAATAAAACTGATTCCGAAAATCTGTTCATTGAATCAAAATCTCACGGGTTTTGATTCTGAAAAAAGCAGGAAGAAGCTGTTTGTTCTATGTCTTTTTTGCGAACGTAATTAGAATATTTAGAAGAAAAAAAACGAAAAGGAAATAAAAGTTATTGACTCGGTGAATCATTCTGGAGATGATGAGTGAGAGGGGAAAAGACGAACGAAAAATATGATACAAACCGTCACAATTAGCATAATTGGAAATAATTTGCTTTTTATGAGTATCAATGTCTGTGAAACATAGAACGCAAAAGAGTTCTGACTATTTAAAAAATCAGATAAGTTTAAAAGGAATTTTCAAACGGAAAGATACAGATTTTTTAAAAACTCTAAAATTTAAAAATTCGGAAACTATGAAAACCAGAAATTCAGAAACCCCAGTTATCCTGAAATTCAGATTTCCAAAAATTTGGGAAGTTCAGGAGTTCGGAAAAAATATTTCTCATTTCAGAATTTCAAGAATTCTGTAATCTAGATTTCAAAGTTCTGGGAAGTTTTAATTTTTATTCAGAAATTTTGTGGACTAATGTGGAAAATTCTGAAGTTAGAAATTCTACTCAAAGATACAGTAAGCGGAGCCAGGAGGTTGGAGTTCCAGCAGAGGGCATAAACCTAAAATGACTTCATTTTGAACAATTTTTATTAGGTATTTGAACTTTTCAAAGCCACTGTAATCAATATTTTATTTAAAAAATTAAGTTTGGGATCTAAATTTGAACATTTTTTGATTTTTCGACCTCTGATCAGTTGCTAATTAGAATCGAACTTTGTTGCATTTCGAAAGGCATCAACCAGTCTCGAAAATGGGACGGAAACTAATTTACCAAGAAAATCAAAGTCGGTTCCCTGTTAATTGAATTCAAAGAAAAAAGCGAGATTTTTTTTTGAGTTCTTTGAATTTTAAGAAATTTCAAAAAACAAAACTAGTTTCTTTGAACTTGGTCTAGAACTCGAGTGTCCAAAAATAGGAGTGGACCATATGGGAGCGGAATTTCTCAATCAGCTTAATGAATAGGCGGTGATGCGTCGGGGAAAAAATAGAAGAAAGGTTTCAGAATAAATATGTATGAATTATTCGAAATCCATCAATTCCAGCTGACATCCGGAGCTATATGAGAAGAAAGAGAAATGAAAAATGTGAAGGCGACGGGAGGAGGAAAACGCAAATAAGTTTAAATTAAATGAGATGATGGTCATCGAGAAAAAAAAAAGAAAACAAAGAATTATTCAAAAAATGACTGTGTTTTTCCAGAGATGAAAGTTATCCATCATTTGAGGAATACCAGGAAACGTGGACCTAAAACGAAGGACCAGTCTGAAAATAATGAAATGTACTATAGCAATTAAAGATTTTATTTACTGAAAGAAAACTAAACAATGGAATTGGGAATACAAAGGTGAGGTAATAATAATATCCTATTTGTTGTTTTCATAACACACAAAAGACAAGGAATTCATTATGCGTCAGTGAGACATCCAGACAGGATTATATAACAAATGATGCAAAACAGAACAGAAAAGTACAAAATTAGATTGAGATCAGAAAGAAAGTACCATCATTGTTTTCTTGTTCCTTAAAAAATACCAGTAGCAAAAAATGCATTTTTTCGCAAAAAAATTGGTCATTGAGCATTTGATTCCTTTATTGGCATCCATTAAATGGTATAATGTTGCATCGTTATCGGTTGCCTAATTTTTTTTTTGAAAAATCATACAATTCATACTTACTGGAAAAAACCCTGTAATATGTTCAAAGGCCCCTGTAATAGAAAGGACCCTTCAATAGAAGCACCCTATGAGAGGAGCGTAAAAAGACCCCTGTGATAGAGGGCCTTCCGGAAGTACCTAGGAGCACCAGAAGGGTCTGCCCTTCTAATTCAGGTTTCCCGGTTAGCAATGTTGCAAGGTCTAAAATCCTAAAATGACATCACTATCCACAAACTGTTAAGAATAAACCCACTGCGTCACTTCCTTTTTCGGACCGATTTGAGTGCAAAACCCCCTATGTTTTTTTCACGATTGGAGCTATTCAAGTGGTTCAAACTCTATGCATCATGATTTTTATCCGATTTGCAAATAAATGATTTTCTGGAAATAAAATAACAAGAGCGCAAAAAATTATTGAGACTGTTTGATCAATGCGCCATATAAGGAAACGGAATGGACTGTTGCGTACAGTTCCAGACACCATGCGCTTTCTTATTCTTTCTTTCCTTGCCTTCTCGGTCGTGATGGGATGTAAGTTTTTGAATATATTTATTCAAGTCACAATCAAAATGTTTTATTGGTTAGGTAATTTTACTCAGAGAGTATCAGAAAAAAAGTTCGGCTCAAAAGATTGCCAATTCTTCCTAATAGAATCTTATCCACACAGTCAACTTTGAGCTCCATTTTCTCGATTCCTGTGAAAGATAGCAGAAATATGTCAATTGATTCATTGTTTATCATAGTATCGATTCATTGTTTATCATAGTAACTTTTCATCAGTATATTAAATTTTGATATCTTTCTCAAGAATCGAGATAATTGAGCTCAAAGTTGACGGGTTGGGTAGGCTTTTATCAGAGGGAAATACGGTATATCATTTTATTTAACTTTTCTAGAAAGTTATCCACTTCAGAACCCGAAGTTTTCAATGTTTAAATCACGATCGAATTTGATCAATATGAACAACTTTCAAAGATATCACAACTTTCAGACCCCTACTACCAAGCACCAGCAGATCCATACTACCAGTCGAACTACCAGCAAAACTACCAGCCAATCAAACTCTGGTATACACCACAAACCTACCAAATTGGAACTGGAGTTGTCCCTTCAACAGCTGGAAATCAAAACCCATATAACCCGTATTATCCTTACTATCCATACGATTGGAGCAATTACAACTCAGACTTTTACAATCCTTATAACAATTGAACACCAAATGGAACATAAATAAATATTTTTTTTTCGAAAATTGTAACTAGAGGCTTATCTATTTTCACACTACAAGCTTCAACGGAATGGCCGAAATAGTTTTTCCTCTTGTGTCATGTCAAATATTTGCTTGACATCTCTGAACCCATGTTAGCAGAGATAAGCTCAATGAAACAAAAATTATATCATATCCGGAGGCTTTCGATTACTGTTGATATCATCATTTCGTTGATATTTCCCAATCTAAACTTCATCATCATCTTTATTATTTTGTGATAAAGTGGCAAACTGTCATCTCCTGCTTTTCTTCTTCCTAGTAAACACCGAGTGTAGATTGTTTGGATTTTCAAATCTTTTCTTTTTCTCTTTTTCAGTAGTTAAAAGTAAGAAAGTCAAACAGTGGGGCGGAGGGTCCACCGTCTATTTACTCTGATTCATTTTGACAACCGATCATTGAGTATATAAGAGAAACGGTCGATCGAAAACCCAAACGCCATTTCGAATCATGCAGTTTTCAGCGATTTTATCAGTTTGTGTTCTTGCAGTTGCTGCTCAGCAACAACAATGTGAGTTTTTAGAGAATGCATGTTTTGCTAACCAAATTTACAATAGACTAATTTTAGATACGAATAATGGGCAAACAGTGACGACTAATCAGTTTGCAGCCGCTTACTCAACGAATCAGTATCAAACTGGACAAGGAAATCAATACGATCAGAGTGGACAGAGTACTCTTCAATATAATAATGGAGCCACTTCCCAACCTATCATGTACAATCAGAATCAGTATGGAACCACCTCGCAATACGGACAAAACCAGAACCAGTATGGTGCCACTTCTAATACCTATAATCAAAATCAGCAAAATGTCAATCAGCAACAATACTCCACTACTGGATACAACAACAACCAACAAAACCAGATGTATAACCAGCAAGGACAAAACTACGGAGGACAAGTTCAATACGACGCCGGACAAAACCAAATGGGACAGTCGGGACAAGTGCAAGGATACTCGAACAATGGATACTCGAACCAAAACTCGCAAATGAGCCAGAGTCAAGCCAGCAGTGGAACCAGCAGTGTTTCTCTCATGGATTATTCTTTCAACAATGGAAATTGTCAATACAAGGATGGTCAAATTATTGAGAATGGACAGACCAGACAGGCAACTCAACAAGAACTTCAACAGATTCAGCAATACAGAGACAGTGTTGATCAGTACATGAACCAAGTTAACGGATACGTAAGTGATCTTTCCTCTTCTCAAGTTTATATAAATATTTTATAGGTTGGCCAATGGATCAACTCTGTGTTCCAAACGCTTCCATCAGTCAACAACTCTTTCCCGAATATCCCCACTATGCCAACCATGCCACAGGTAAGACACATCTCAACCACTCAGTATTTGTGCCAAAGAGGAATCTTTGTAGGCTCCGTGTTTGTGCAGCGCCCAGAACTGTGGTAACACAACAAACACCAATACCATTGGAACCTCACCACAATACGATGCCAATGGAAACTTGATCAATTCACAATACCAGCAATCCAATCAAAATCAGAATGGACAGTACCAGAACACGCAATTCCAGCAACAGAACGGACAGAACCAGAACAATCAGTACCAACAACAAAACGGACAAAATCAGAATAACCAATATCAGCAGACGAGTAACCAACAGATGAATAATCAACAGTATCAAAGTGGAAACTACCAACAGACCAATGATCAGACAATGGGACAGCCAAATCAAGGAAACCAACAATCCAACAACCAACAGATGAGTGCTCAACAGACGCAACAACAGCAACAGTATTATGGACGAAAGAAGTAAAGAATTCTGATTTTTTCGAAAATTATTTTTCCCGCTTTGAATATTCTTGCCTGTATTGTTTCAATAAATCCTTTCACATGGAAGATGTTCTCAAGTTCTCCATTTTTATACTTTCCTGGCGGGGCTGGTTTGAAATGAAACATTATCCGGTTAGGCGGGTCCACCCGGGCCAGATTCTGATATCTCAAAATTCTGTTTTCAAAGGGTTTATGAAATTTTCTAACAGTTTCAAAGTTTCGATGTTTTTTTTGAAAGGGCAATATTTTTTGAAGTGGAGTTCAGCAAATTTTTCTCAAGAATTTTCCAAAAATCAGCCTCCCTGTCCGGAGTATGACAAGTACCGTAAAACCTGTAACAAAAGGGACCTTTAACTTTTTACTTCAAGCCAATTTATCTAGATTGCTATCAAGGATACATAAAAATTGTCAACTGATGAATTGCTTATCATAATATCACAAACATTTTATCAGCTGACACGTTTTTGATATCTTCGTAGGAGCCAAGAAAAATCAAACCAAAAAAAATCACTTGACAGGGTAAATGTTATAGGGTTTATTACAGGGTTTAACGGTTTGTCAATTTTCAAGATGTACTAAAAAACAACTCACTCTCCGGAAGCACTTGTTTTCAGTTCTCTCTGGATTTCAGTCAATTGTCTTTTCCCGCTCTTTTTTTTCAGTTTTCTCATCCAGTTCAATGTGTCGGGTTGTATCGATATATCTTTCTGATTGCAATGGCAAAGCAAAACTTGGCACCAAACAAATGCTGAAGAAGAAAAAGAAGAAGAAGAAGCTGCTCTCTTTGCTAACCCGCTGGTTGAGATGTGTTCCAGGACGTTGTAATGGGCGAATAAGAAACAAAACGTATTGAAAGGGATCGCCTCTGTTTCTCTTCTTCGACCACACACCATCTTCAATCACCCACCTCGGTCCACCCAACAATTGGCGAGTGTATCTGAGAAGTGCATCTGTTCTTGATTTTTTCTGACCCTCTAAATGAGTAATTCATGTTTCTTGTGGACGATCATGAATTAGAAAGTTGTTTATCATTTGGTCACTTGAAGATATCAATTTCATAAAATCTGCCACATTCTCTAGTTTCAATATCAAAGTGTGGCTGGAATGCCGAGTAAACAAGACTATATTCCACATCTGCTAAGTTGTTGCTGTGTTTTTTGAGTTTCTCGGACCAGATGGAAGAATAACGATCAGTATAAACATGTGTAGTATTTTTGTGGTTTTCGTGTTATTCTGAAGTTCAGATTTTTCGCTCGACTTTTCAGAAAAGTTGTTGGAAACTTATTTGTCAATTAAAGGGATTTGTGAACTTTAATTTCGCGGATCCAGTCGACTTAACGGTCCCTGATTCTATATGGATGATTAATTTTTTTAAAGACAAAGTCTAGAAAGCGGACATAATCTTTTTTGAATGTCCTTATCTTTTTTCACATATCAAAATGTTTCGTTAACCTGCGAGTTTCGTATAATTTTGTAAGCCGAATAATTAAATTGAAGAACACAGTTTCCAAAATTATTGAGATCGTTCCCGAGCTTTAGCGAGCATAGTTGTACTAGACTGTAAGGACGGACCCTTTGTTTCAAGACACCACCACCCTGTAATTAGAATTAAGAGGGCTTTTACCTTTTTTGCCATTTTTTTTAATTTTCGAAAAAAAAAATTCGGTGGACATTCGTTCAAAACTCATAAAAATTGATCATTCACCAAAATAGAGCAAGTTTTTGAGAAAAATTAGTGTTTCAACAGATACTGTGAAATTGTGGAATTTCAGCAATATTTTTCAATGAAATCGTACGGAACTCTTTATTTCAGACAATACAATTTCAAGTTATCAAGTATTCACTTATTCATTTTTTCGCGAATTAACCGATGGTAGTTAACATTTTCTAGAAGCCCATCTTCGAGATCTTGCCCAAACCCCATCGTCGGATGGAGGTAGAATATCTCACCTGTCTGGAAGAATTGAAGACTTTCTACACTATTTGAAAACAAAAATGAACCATTTTCCTCGTATTCATGGATTCATTCATGCCATCGAATCGTTGTTATTTTCCTATTCGCTGTTTATCGGAGTCATTCTCGGAGGGGCCCTTCTGTTGAAGGGGCTTCTGTCCTTTTATTATTTTCGTTTTCAGAATTAAATTCCAGTACGAATGAATTCACAGTAGCATTATGAATCATTTTGTACAATGTTACATCTTTTAATCCAACTTTTTATTGCGATATCTATACAAAAAAGATTGAATTAACAGATCATTCTCTCTCCGTTTTTTCCAACATCTTTTCCTGTTCCCACACTGATACTTCTTCTTCTTCTTCTTCTTTTTTTTTGCTCTTCTTCTCCCGGGAGCTCCCACCTCTTCTCTTCATCTCCCGCCCGCAATTTTTGTGTTGTTGTTCTCTCTATCTCTCCTTCCTGTCCCATACTTCTCGATGTGCTGCTGCTTTGGCTCGATGTTTTACACTCTTTCTCTTCCGAAGAGGACGAAGAGAGAGGATCCTCCCCAGCTCAGAACGTGTGTAATAGTAGGAGAGCACCACAGAAACTCGGACAACCTTGAAGTGTGGGCGGCACTTTTTATACTAATTGTTGCACTTCTTACTTGTATACAATGCTACTTGTATCTCTGGTTACGGTATCCTAGGCTAACAAAACCTTGTTTGAAGTTTGGAACATTTTCTGTTTTGGTTATACAAATTCCGATACCTCCCGTTATCTTCTAATATTTCTTTATAAAATATAGTTTCCCTCTGAAATTATGATCATTCTTCATGTAATATAATTTGTTACTTTATGGATTACTGATTCGGAAGATACTCCCAGAAACATCTCTTTGAATACAAAATTCCAATCTTTTTAGAATAACCTCACTACCATCATGGCGCCAGGAGGGGCGCCTAACGACGCCAACCTCAGCGAAATGGCGCGTAGAGGTCAGAGCCAAGAAACTGAAAAATCCACGACTACACTATCAACAATTGCCGTAAAAGCTGGTGTCAATGCCTCCATAGTTGTTGCGCTTCTCAAAGTGAGTTTCAGAACTTTCTCATCTTTCTTAACTATGACACTCAGAGCGCTGGTTATATCCAACTCCGAGTGGACGAAATGCAACCGAAACTTCTTTCCATTGGAAACTCATCACAAGAAGCAAAGGATTTATTGAATATCCACGATGATCTCATCAGAAGACTTCAAGAGAAAGACGATCAAGTCTTAGCTCTTTTGAGTCGAGCCGACAGCCTTGGAGCCGAGAAAACGAATCCGAACGAAGCGATTGTTTACGACGAAATGGCGAAAAGTTTGCGGGAGGTTTGTATTATGCATTTCGATGCGTTTTGCGTTTTTTACTTTTTTCCTATACAGCTGCACCATAAATCAGCACATTAATCTGCGTTGTATAGGAATCCGACCGGATGGGGGTTTCATGTTTTTACTCTTTTCTTACGATACTAAAATGTCGCATTCTCAGACCTGGAGATCCTTGAATCGTCAACTTCTGCTGCGTGGATATATGCTGAGAGAAACTGTCCAGTTCTACACATTGGCTGAAAGTCATCAGAGAGTAAGTTCCTATTTTCAGGACAATCTGAAATTATTATATTTCCAGCTCTCTACAAAAACCATTGAAATCGTGGAGCAGATCAATGAACAGAATTCCCAACAATTAAAGTCTTCCATTGATAAGCTCATCAATGATATCATCGATACCACCGCCTCTGTCGTAGACCTAGGATCTTCTGTGATCTCTCAAATTCGCACACTGGGACAACTAGATGACAATCCAGAGCGACCGCAGGAGATTCTAGAAGCGTCTGTGAGAATTGAAAGCATCATGTTGAGGTAACCCCAGTCTAAACGCTTAGAATCTTACATTTTATCAATTTTTCAGAGTGGCTTCCGATTGGGAACGATCCGAAGCTCTGTGGCAGGAGAGAAAGTCAGGAGCTGCTCCACAGACACAAACGACCACAACAGAAGATGAACTGGTTGTCATTGAACAATGGCTCACATACGCAGAGAAGAAGGTAAAAGCCCTCAATGAAGCTGGACAGAAAAACGTTCTCAATGAAGGAAATGTGAGTTCGAGATGCAAACTAACCTATGGAAATTAGCATTTTCTAGAAACATGTGGCCCGTCTACGAGATCTTGCCCAAACCCCATCGTCGGATGGAGGTAGAATCTCTCATCTGTCTGGAAGAATTGAAGAATTCCTACACTACTTGAAAACCAGAATGAATCGCTCTCAACGTATTCATGGATTCATTCAAGCCGCCAAATCGATGTTATCTCAGCTGAATATGATGGCTGAGGACATGAAGAGTGCGAATGCGGCGATGGCGGGAGAGTTGGCGCCACTTGCTAAACAGAAAGCATCACCATTGATTCATGAAGGAAAGGATATTGCTTGTGAGTGAAATTTTAAGAACTGCCCCAGCTAATTTTCTGTTGCGTTTTCAGCGAAGGAAGTGTTGAGCTACGAAGAACAGCGACTTGTGAAACAGTATGTGGAAGATCTATCGGAAAAATTGAAAGAAATCGAATCTCTCGCCAAGCAGAGAAAGGAGTCAGGAAAAACAACTTCTCATGTAAGTTTTTTAGTCTTTCTATATTAGAATATTAAACCATCTCATTCAGTCTCCACGATAAAATCATGGCTTGACGGTCAGGCATCTGCGTTCTTGGCCCAAAAAGGAGATATGGGTGGCAATTTGAACGATGCTCGTGATTTTGTTGTGGCTCACAAGCAATTCGCCACTGAAGTCGTCAACAGAGATGCTGATGTGATGAGTCTTCTTGCAAAGAAACCCCAAATGTCTCCAGAAGAAGAACAGCTATTGACAGAATTCGTCAAGAATTATGAGAAGATCAAGGACATCCTAGAAAACCGTATTCAGATCGGAACCACTTACGAACAAGTTCACAAGTTTGGAAAAGATCTTGAAGGATCGTTCGATGCACTTCAAACTCTCCTGGAAAATAATCAAGAGTATACCAACGAAAAGGTTGCTGCACAAATTTCAAATGTGTTCCAGATGATTTTAGAGACATTGAGTCAGGAGAAACATCAAGGTTTGTGGAAATCCATATGCGAATCTATATTTAGAACTTCAGGAGAGAAATTTATTTCTAATGCGACCCAAATTGGAAAGTCAGACGAGTGGTTGAACATTCAAAGGGCTCAAGAAGCAGTTAGAAATATGATCACTGATCATGAGAATCGATTCAAGTACGTTCAACACAAATGGACAGAATGGCAGATGGATAAGGTTCGCTCGTATTCTTATTAATCTTTTTATTATGAAAACTTTTCAGAACTCTACTACAAAAGTGGAGAGTGTGATGGAAGAGATTCAGATGTGGCAAACGGATGTGTTGGAGTTCATTGGTAAAGTTGATAATTCCAGTATCACCAAGAAAGAGGTACATTTTCCCTAGCTTTAATTTGAAGCATTTAAAACCTGAAACTTTATATAGGAAGTGGAAGAGACCCAAAAGAGAATTTCTTCTTTCAAAAACGCCGCTGATATGCACAAAACCACTCTTGAAACGTTGAAAGAAGAGAACAAGAACGAGGAACAGATCAGCCGAATCAATGTATTAATTGATAAGAATGACTACATCAAGACTCGTCTGGATCAATTGAGCCAAAAAGTTGAGTTGGCCTCTCTTCTGAAAATAGTTGAAGATGTTCAAATCTGGCAAGAGGAAATGGTGGAAATCATTAGAAATATGAATCAAGTCGTCACTACGCAATCAAATAATCAGGAACAATTTGAACACGTCAGACGGAAAATTGAAGATTTGAAAGTTGAAGTTGACAAGAAGAGTGAGCATTTGGAGGCTTGTAAGACACTTTCCCAGAGTAAGTATTTTTTTGGAAAAGGATTAGATACTCAACACAGTTTGTTTTCTTTTTCCAGACGAAACGTTCCAAACACAACTTTACAAGACTATCCAAAACCAGGAACAAATCCGCCTCACTACTCTAGAATTGCAAGAGAAACTCGAAATCACAAAGTTGATTCGTGTTGTCCAAGAGATTCAGATGTGGCAAGAAGAAGCTATTGAAATCATTCGAATGTTGGATAGAACTCAACCAGCTAACATTCAAGAAGCAAATGAACTCATTGACAGAGTTCATGATCTTCAACAAACAATTGAGCACAAGTCTTCTAGAATTCAAGAAGTTAAGAAAATGTCGCAAGGTAGGTGATTTACTCTTTATATCCATTATTATGAAGTTTGAAATTTCAGTACCTGAATTTGTACAAAAAATGGAAGAGGTCGAACATGTTCAAGAGCAATTGAAGCATCTCACTGTTGAGCTGGAAGAGAAATTGGAGCAACAAAAGTTGGTGAAAGTCACGGAACACATTCAAATGTGGCAGGAAGAAATGGTCGAGATCATCAAGATGTTCGATAGTACTCCAATGAAAACTGTTCAGGTGAGTTTTAAAAGTGCATTTGAGTGGAAATAATAATCAAAATTTTGATAGGAAAGTGAAGAACTCCAAGAGAAGGTGAAGCTTGTCAAAGAGGCAATTGAAGTACAACAGCCAAAAATCGAAGAGGTTGTATCCAAAGCCAAAGATATCGCAGTCAAGACACAGATTGCTAGAGCTGTTGAGCAACAGAACGTGATCAGAGAAATGACAGAAAACTTGGAGAGAAAGGCTATTTTCGCAAGTTTCGAATTGTCAAAGCCGCAACAAACAATTGAAGAGACAAAGACCATCGAACTGACAAGTCTCGAACAAACCCAGATTACCTTGACTCCAGAAGAAAGACAAGAACTTCAAATACTGAAAAAGATTATAGAAGAGATACAGATGTGGCAAGAAGAGACTATCGAGATTATTCGATTAGTTGATAAGGCACCGAAGACAATTCAAGAATCGGAAACACTTGTGAAGAAGGTCAACGAAATCCATCAGACTGTGGAGGCTCAGACCAGACGATTGGAAGATGCATCCAGATTCACGAAGGATGAAACTTTTACCAAGACTGTTCAAGAGATGATGACTAAGCAACAACAAGTTCAACAGCTAGTTAAGGAACTTCACGAGAGAGCCGCTTCTCAGAACATTGTCATTCGTAAGCAGGAAGAAGAACGGCAGAGAGTTCAGGCACCACAGATCCTTACCCAGCTGAAGGACGACGAGGTTAGTTGATTTTCTGGTATGGCACTTTGAAATACCCATATCTAAAATTTTCAGGTTGATGAAGGATGCCGTTATGAATTCTTGGCAAGAATCAACGGGGAGCCTGAGCCAAAAATCTCATGGCTGAAGGATGGAATTGATGTGAAGAGCAACATGGACTACCGTCAGGAATACGTGAATGGAGTTGCCACACTGGTAATTGAAGAGAGTTTCATCGAGGATACTGCAGAATACACTGTAAAAGCTACAAATGTTGGAGGATCCGCTTCAAGTAGTGCCAACTTGATTGTCAAGTGTAAGGTTTCACCTAGCAAGTCAAAAAAATTAAAATATTTCAGCGAGAAGTGCAATGTCATCCGCAATTCTTGAAGAAGACAAACCAAGATTCGTGAAACAAATGCAAAGTGTTCAAGTGAATGAAGGAGAAACTGCTCATTTGGATTGTGTGGTTGTTGGAAAACCAGAACCAGAGGTTACTTGGTTCAAAGAGGAAACTGCAGTCAAGGAGAGCCAGAGAGTTCATCTTACATTCTCTGGAGATCACTGTCAAATGGTAATTGATCAAACTGTTCCATTGGATACCGGAACATATACCGTCCGTGCCAGGAATGTTCACGGAGAAGTTGCGAACTTTTGTCAGCTTCGTGTTCTTCCGAAAAAGCAACCACCACCACAGACACCACCGAAACCAAGAACTCCAATTCAAAGACCTCCAGTCATTCAGCCCCCACTCACAAACACCACGTGGCAAGAAGGAGAAACTGCAACACTCCAAGTATTCTCGTATGGAGAACCAAAGCCAAGAGTCCACTGGAAATTCAATGATTCTCCAGTTCAAACTTCGAGTCAAGTGCAAATCTCAGAGCAGGAAGATGGATGGTCAAGACTCACAATTCAACAGATTTCCCCAGTCAACGCTGGCATGTATACTGCTGTTGCTGAGAATGAAATTGGAGAAGCTGTGACTGGTGCCACTGTTCATGTTCAACCATCATTGAAGCGAGTGGTTACCACTGAACATCATCTTCAAGAAGATCTTAACGAACAAATCGGTCAGTCAATTCAACAAACAGTCATCACCAAAACAAGCTGTGAAATGGAAAATAGAGAACGATCAGATTTCCCACAACCAAGAGAGCCAGAAAAGATTATCGATGAGAAGAGATGGGTTGAATTGGTGGAGCAACACTTCGAGGAACATCTTTCTCAGAGATCCATTTCTCCAGTTCCTCAAATTAGAGAAGTCAGAAAGACAGAATCTCAGCAAAGGTGGATCGATACAATTGATGAGATTTGGTCTCCAATGAGAGATGTGGAAGTGACAGAGACGAGAACAGTTTCTGGAATGAATCAATATAGTTCACACAATGTTCATGAACCTTCTCCACGCCCAGTCGGATATCATACAACCACTACAACCACCAATATCTCTCATATCGGACAATCCCATGAACCAATTCAGCCAGTTATGGGAAGATCTACATCATCGAATGAGACAGTGAGAACAATGAATGTGGCAACTATCCGTCAGTCTCCACAAAGAGAAGTTTATGAAGCCAGAACGACACCCGGACCAACTTCTGAGCATGTGGCTACTATTAGAAAGACTCCGGTTCGAGAAACACATCAATCTTCCATTTCGAAAGCTCCATCTCTGGAGAATGTTGCAAAGATCCGTCAGTCTCCAGTTCCAGAAACTCATAGATCCACGTTGACAAGAAGAAGTCCATCCGTTGAAAAAGTTGCTAGATACCAACAAGCAGCTCAACCAGAAACCTACCAAGCAACGACTACTGGAGGACAACCATTGGCTAACATTGCAGTTAGTTATAGTACTCATTTCACTTTTCAAAATGCTTCATTTCAGCAAGTACACGCTCCAGCTAAGCCAGAGCGTCAGGCCATCACTAAAGAAGCTCCGCAAATAGACAGAATCGATGACATCCTGGCGACCCCACATGAGCAAAAGGTGACCACTGTTGTCAAACAGACGGAGGAAATCACAGGTGATGTTGATGTGAGTGACAAAAAATAGTTCATTTTCGAAAACTGAAGTTTCAGAGAGAGTATCAAGAACAACAACAGAAGCAGAAACAAGTCACGAGCACAGTGACTGAGACAACTTCTGGAGAGGGATGGGTTCAGCATCAGCATCAAGACTTTGTGGAGCCACACAAATCTACGGTGACCGTAAAGAAGTTGGATATTGAGGAGTCACAAAACATCAACCAACAGAGGGTGAGTCTTTGTTTTTGTTCCGAATTAAAGTACCTCAATTAATTTCAGTTCAACCAGCCTGAACAAAAGAACATTGTCACTGAAAAAATTCAGGAAGATGTGCACAGAGAATCAAGAATTCCTGTGAAACGTGAGCCGCAAACCACTACCACTGTTACGGAAATGACATCTGGAGAAGGGTGGGTTCAGAATACTCATCAAGATTTCCAAAATCCACATCTTTCCACGACAACTGTGAAGAGATTGGACATTGATGAAGGACACCATGTGAACTATCAAACTGCTCAGCAATCACAGCAACAAACTGTGAAAACACAGAAGGAGGAAGAAGAGGAGTCGAGAATGAGAAACGAATCGAAGATTCCAGTGAAGAAAGAGCCAAAGACAACAACTACGGTGACTGAGACAACATCTGGGGAGGGATGGGTTCAGAATGTTCATCAGGACATGAGAAGACCGGAACAATCGACAATCACTGTGAAACGGTTGGATATTGAAGGAGGAGAGCATGTTCAACACGACATTCAGCAGAATAGATCTGGACAGCAAACTATCACAACCAAGAAGGAAGAGGAACAAGATCAACGGAACAAAACAGAATCACGTATTCCAATCAGAAGAGAGCCAAAAACAACCACAACGGTAACCGAAACGACTTCTGGGGAAGGATGGATTCGGAATACTCACATGGATGCAGCTCATCCACATTCAACTGTCACTATGAGAAGATTAGGTATCGATGGAGAAACAAACACAAAGAAGACAACCGCTAGACCAATTAGTAACGAGTATAGAAGACAAACAGATGAGGAATCCTCTATTAGACAGAGAGACAGTTTTATTCAAGCATCAGATGTTGAAGGATTCTGGACTGATGGAGCCTACACTGATTCTGCACCAACTCCTCCACCACAACCAATTCACAGAAGTACTGCAGAGGATAATATGCAAAGGATTGGATTGTCAAGAACAACAACAGAACCAGAATTCATTAAGGCATTTGAAAGAGAATATACTGTCGAGGAAGGAGGAAGGATAGCGATTGAATGCATCCTTGTTGGAAATCCAAAACCAGCAGCCAGATTCTTCTTCAACAATAAGCAGGTCACTGAGAAATCCGAATTTTTGAAGATCTGCCATGTCAACGACACCTACTCGATTATCATCAGTCCTGCTAGATTGGAACATGCTGGATATTATAAAATGATTGCTGAAAATAAGAGAGGAGTCACAGAATCGCTGACTGTCCTCCACGTTCGTCCTAGATCTCTCCAAACTTACCAACAAAAGAAACAAGAGGAAACTCGACTACAACAACAACAACAACAAACACGAAAAAATGTTCCAACTGAATATACTACTGTTGAAGAGGAATTCGCAATGTTCGAATACGAGCAGAGAAGACCACTGAAACATGAAGCATCAAAGCTCTCAACTCCACCACCAGCTAAACGAATTGAGTTGGAACATAAGAAAGATGAAGAGCATCTGGAGACGTACGATTTAGAAGGAAAGAAAACATCTGGACATCCTCCACATTTCACCCAGACACTTGTATCAACTGTTGTTGCTCAAGGAGAAAATACGACCTTTGAAGGAATTGTAACTGGATGGCCTGCTCCAACAGTCGAATGGACTATTGACGGAAGGCCACTTGATTTGAAGGATATCAGAGTTTCGAATATCGGAGGACGGGTTTCTCTTCACTTCCTCAATTGTCAACTCTCCCATGCTGGAAAATATATGTGCACTGCCAAGAATAACAGTGGAGTTGCTACGAGTAGTGCGCAGCTTGTTGTTAGACGTTAGTGATAAACTTCAATTTGTACGGAAAACAATTTTTTTCAGCAAAAACGATTGCTCCAGATTTTATTCAACGACTTATCAGTGAAGAAGTAGAAGAAGGACGCCAATTAAAATGGACTGTGCGAGTGACTGGAGACCCGATGCCCAAGGTTATTTGGATGCGCGATGGATATGAGATTCCTGACTGTGAAGAAGTGAGGATTGTTGATGTAAGTTCAACGATCCTTCTGGAAAATTTGTCTTTTTTTTTCGAAAAGTGTACAAACCGCGGCTAAAGATCTAAGAGTCGGCTATAACTTGCGTTTATTATGAAAATTAGGGAATTTTTGAATACGCAAGTTATAGCAATCTCTTAGATCTTCAGCCGCCGTTTGCAAGATTTTAGGGAACCCCGCCTTACCTGTGAGGTCCCTTGCTGAATCTCTGGTACGGCTTATTGAAGAAGCCTTTTTTTGAAAAAAACATTTTCTCATATTTCAGCATGGTGACGGATATCATTCCTTGGTGATTGTCAGAGTAGAAGGTGCAGATAGTGGTCAATTCACTTGTTTGGCTGAAAACATCGCAGGAGAAGCGAGAAGCACAGCAGATTTAGTAGTACGACCGGCTGGTTCAAATCCAGGAAACTACTTCCATGTAACTAAAGTCACACAAGAGAAGCAGGTATGAATTAGCGAGAATATAAGAGAAAAACAATAATTATTTTATTTTTTCTTTTTAGGCAAAAGGAGCCGAACCAACAACAACGAGCGCATTTTCGATCGAAACACCCCGACAGAGTGAGATGTTATAATATCTCCGTTGTATCGGATTTTAATTATATCCCAACAAAACATTATTTCACTCTTTTTTTGTTATATTTTTAATTCCATGGTATAATGTAATTATTAGTCGTTTTTTCTTAATAAATAATAATTTTAATCTCCTTTTCTTCTATTATCATTTCGTTTTGCCTCGTAAAGCTAACCCTCCGCAGCAACCATCACTTCTTCTCTTCGATTTATTTCCCTTCTCTGTTTCTCCGATTTTTGGCACCTACTCGCTTGCTTCGCTCTCCTTTTAAGCATTCGATATTTTTTAGGATTTCCTTTTTCTCACAATGAAATTCCTTATGTTCCTATATACTCTAGCCATGAGTGGCATGAATTTGTATACAGTCAACGATGAACAGTAAGTTATAATTTTAGAAAAAAAGTAGAAATGTCACATTTCCTTTATAGTGAGTTCAGTAATTTGACATTCAAGTTACAACTTCGTCAATGGGACGACCATGATTGGGAAGCTGAGCGATTGCAGAACTTACTAGACGATGCACATAGAAGAGATAATTTTGTGAGAACTTTGAGAATTGAGATAATTGGTTCCCTCGAAAAAGTATTGCGAAATCCGTTTTTTTTTTCGAAAAATGGCTTTGCACCAAAAATGTACTGAACGTGTGGAGACGATGGGCTACATAGAAGCGCCCACAAACCGTCAACTTTGAGATCAATCATCTTGTTTAAGATGAGAGATACTAACACTTTCTCTACTGATAAAATATTGGTGATATTATTTTAAATAATTTATCAGTGACAGATTTCTGATATCTTTGAGATAATTGAGCTCAAAATTCCCTTTTGGGTGGGCTTCTATCAGAAGCAGTACTGTATTACAATCACCTATAACAGAATTCAATACCCACAGAGGTTCTCGAAATATTACATCTTTATTCTAGAGACAAATCATGATTGGGATGTGCTGCCTGATTTTCATCTCTACGTAAGTTTCAGATTCTTTCTATTGGTTCAATATTACTTTACAGAACTGTGTGTTTCATTTACATTGGATACAATTTACTCCAAGATTTACTACGCGCTGTCCGAATTTACAGAAATGGCGAGCAAAATAATCCGAGTGAGTTGCTCCAATTACTTTCTTTAATGAGTTTGCTCTTCAGGATATCGCTTCGAACCATTCATTGTGTTTTTCAAATCCTTCGTCGCACTTTTCGCTATCATTCGATACATTCTATATGAAGTTTGGAGACGAATTGGAAACGATTTCGTTCATGCTCAAGATGATTAGGATCGTTTCGAAAATATTTATAAACACTATTGTACAAAAGGTGTGAAAAATCATCAAAACACAGCGATAATAATATTCATGTCATATTTTGTTCAAAACTCCCACATAAACATATTGTTTCAGTTTTAATGTTCACCGGACATGTTTACATTGTTTCTCATTTATATTTGGAGTTTTCATTTTATAACTTGTCATAAAAAAGTGGTTTGTATTTAAAAAGCGACTAGGTCAACATGTAACACTCATTCGATGATGAATTTCAAATCTGTTCTATTTTTCTTTTTCATCGTTGGATACGTCACATCGTGTGATGATTTTTGTGCGGAAGATTGTTTCGCTGAAGTAAGTGAAATTTAGCGTTATTGTACTTGATTTGTCTCGATTTACAAAATAAAGTTAAATTTAAAACGTCGAACTTCTATGGGACTTTTTTTAAAGTTTGAGAGTATTCAAAGACATCGAAATTTCAAAAAATCCAACCCATCCGACTTTAAAAGTACGATTTATCTTATTAGGGATGCATCGACTCGTATTGTGATGCGGGACTCGGATGCGTCTGTCTTGCTTGCGACTACTATGACGATCCACTGGCGTTGGATGCTGTGAGAAGAATGAAGAAGGATATCATCAAAAGAAAACTCACAACTCCGAAACAATAGTTTTGTATAAATTTTCTCAAATCGTTTTTTTTTCAATAAACGTCTCAAAAGAAATTTGATCGTTACTGTACTCATTCCATTCTGACATGATCAACATGAAGGAACGACTTTTTTTGTCAAATAGTCGTGACAGACAGATTGTTCAATGCCTCGGCTGTCGGCTTATATCTTCTGGTCAGAAGATGAGGGATGTTCGGCTTTTGGCCAGATATTGGGTAGGTTCTGTTCGGAACTTGCGAACAAACAGCTGTATAGCGGATCATGGTCAGATTTAAGACTAGAAGTTGAAAGTTAGAATACTACTAGCTTGGATTCTTGTCATAAGTTTGCCAGAGTTTGGTCGGCTTGAGTAACGGTTTCATCTGACCAACCTGCAGGGTTTCCGGGATCAGTATTATTGTTTGTCATCAACCTTAACGACGGCAAGTATCAAAAAGTAAATAGGAGATCATCTGAAAACGGTTGGCAGAATATTTTGAAACAGTATGAACATACATCTACTCCATTTGCGTCAGAGCCATGTCTTTCTCAAAATTCGTTCTAAAAACTGTATCCGTGTTGCGTGGTAAGAAAGGAAGTATATGTCATATTTCTACTTATCATTGAGAAGGATTGCCTCGATTTCCTTTTGTCTCAAAACTCCGGAAATTAGAAACCTATCAGAAGACTGGAGGCGGCGGCCGCTTTGCAGTCAGAAGGAGCACAAAACGTTGGCGTCAGAAACATAAAACAGTATCGAGTTGAATATACGTGCCTTTTTCTTCAATTGCTTCGAACGATAGTTTCAACACCTTTTTGAATCTTGATGTAAACAGCGTCCCAGTATTTGAAGTTTAAAAAGGGCAAACATGAAGTCTGCATTATGGTTTCTCTTTGCACTTTTGATGGTTGGATGCTTGTGCCAGATCTCTCCACACCGTGGACCAAGAATGAGGTACTACTGAAACCGTGTTTGTATGATTTACCGATTCCAGCAACACTTTCCGTTTCTCCACATACACACGAGAAGCAAAAGTTCATATCTTTCGATCCACCAAATCTTCTGTCATTGTAGCTCCATCTCTACCAATCAGGTATCGTAACTTCATAGCAGACACCGCATGACTCACGTTTTCAGATTCAATGACATCAACTACTACTGGTACGGAAATTATGTTTTCGATGACAGCCACCCACTGAAATGCGAATATGACATAGATGAATCTGATCACGAGTTTATCTCAGTTGTTCACAAAGACGGTAGCAAACCTCAATCTCTTCAGTACGGTTGTTTGAACTATGAGCAATGTTGTGGTCTAGAGTGTTGTGGAGACATTCGAACTTCGACTGTCACCATGTGGTAAATGAAAACTTGAGAGAACGAATCTTGGAAATATCCTTTGCAGTATTGTCTTTCTAATCTTCCTGGGATTATGCGTTGCCGTCTCGAAGTACAATGCTTATGTGAATTCGCGCAGAGAATCGGTTTCGATGAATGCTATTCGTCTTCCTCGAAAACCGCGTGCAAAAAAGAATGCTGAAATTCATGAAGTTTGATCTGATGTCATGATGTCATGTTATCTTTCCTGTTTCCATTGTACAGTTGAATTCCATGTTCAATCCTCTTAAACATCTGAAATTTTGTGGAAAGTACAGAATTCTCTAATAGAATCCCACCCAACCCGTAAATTCTGAGCTCAATTATATCGATTCATGTAAAAGATATCAAGAACTTGTCAGCTAATAAAATATTGGTGATTTCATGATAAATAATTCACCAGTTGAAATATTTTCAATATCTTTGACAGGAATCGAGATCACCGAGAAGTTGACGGTTTGGGTATGCTTGTATTAAAGAAAATGCGGTATATGCAATCTTACATTTAACCAGTTTCCATTTTTTTTTTGAATGATTTCCTGGTGGGGTTTTCCTAGAGTTTTTGTTCTTCTCTAATCGGTCAAAACCAATTATTATGATTTTTCAAACCTGCTTGGTTGGCGCGCCTGTAGCGCGCCTCCAGTGCACCATAGAGTGCCTTGATGTTGATTATATTAATTGCGGTACAGAAATCAAAAGTAATGATCAAAGACATTGTTACACACTGTTTTCAAAATGGTTGGACAGTTACGAGTAGTCCAAGGTAGCAATATTTAATTTTGTTTTTTCCATCTATTGTGGCTAATCAATTTGAAATCGGTAGACTGTAACAATTCAATTCCCAATTGAGACTGACTTTAATTTCACCTTTGTCAGTTGTATTTCTGTACGCATGTGAATCGATTTCAATGACTTACACCCTGCTCTTCCTCCTTGCTCTTTCAGTCGTGTCTATCAAAACTCAAACAATTGAAGATGAATATCAAGAGCCCCCCAGCAAGTTTGTTAATTTTTTACAATTATTTTGTATTCATAGTTCTACTTTCAGCTCAACAGATAATGCATCCTCCTACGACACCATTGTAAAAAAGTTTGTGAAGCAAAACTCGATAAAATCGGGAGTAATTACTTCTCCATATCTCCAAATCAGGTTCTCTGATAAGAAAATATTTTCAAAAATAGTATTTTCAGATACAAAAACATCAATTACTATTGGTTGGGTTATTATTCGTACAATTCAAATGATTCAATGAGATGTGAATATCCAATTGATGAATCTGATACCGAGTTTCGTGGTGTCACTTACCCAGACGGTACTAAGCCGTGGGCACTCTCCTTCCGGTGTCAGAAAAATGAGAGCTGTTGTGGTTTAGAATGCTGTTCAGAGAGCCGTAGTTCCATTTTTATTGTTGGGTTGGTTGCCTAATAGCAAGAATATGATTTTGAATATGTCCAACTTTTCAGAGCAATAATATTGTTTTTCGTTGGACTCTACTGGGTCATCATCAAATACAGAAAATATGGAAAGCATAAGAGAGAAGCTGTTGCTAACGATACTTCGGAACCATTGAGAAATCCGAAGGTCTAATCATCTTAATTTTGTTCCTTTACCTGATGTTTTATCATTTATTGTTTTCGTGTATAATGAACAAAGATCGGTAAATTTGGTCAGATGTTGTGAAATGAACGAGACGCCGTCCGAATGTCTTCGTCTCTCGATCCTTGACAGTGTCCGAATTGATGGCGTAGATTGTTGAAAAAAGTGAAAAAGAAACAAACAAGTTATTCGTCTACGACAATGGATGTTTCCGTAATTTCTATACTATTTTTTCTCGTCATTAGTTGCGAAGGGTACCGGAGAGTCCACCGAATTCGGTACGACTCATCTCAATTACGGGGGTATCTATTCAGTGATCCCAATGTTACTTCTACATATTTTGACTCAGAAGCACAGATCTACATTATTAAAAAACCATCAGTTCCTATTACGTATGCATCTATAGGACGGAAGCTTGAAAAATAATATACATCTGATTTAGATTTGACAACACTTCCTATCATTGGAATGGCTTATTCCGAAAGAGTGAAGAAGCTGAAAAAGTTTGTAAATATGGTCTGACAGAACTGGATGTGGAGCTTTTCAATACGAGATTTTCTAATGGAACCAACCCCACCGCACTTGTTTTTGAATGCAGTAAATGGGATGAATGCTGTGGGACCAAATGTTGCAATAACATTACTGGGTTTCTTATTACGTATGGGATTAATTTCCCGTAAAACCTGTAATATAAGGGCCCCCAACTTTCAACTTTAAGCCAATGCATCTCCGTTTCTGTTCAAGATATGAAAAATTTATCAACTGATAAATTGTAGATCATAATGTCACCAACGTTTTATCAGTTGACTACTTTTCGACATCTTGCATAGGAATTAAATTAATTGACCTCAGACTTGACAGTGCGGGCGCCCTTCTAATACTTGTTTTACGGTATTTAATTAAAACTCTAATAGTTGGTTTTCAGAATGGGATGCTTTGCAATGCTGTTCGTTTTGGTGATGGGTGTGTTTTATTGTGCTTGAAAATAAATGTTCTGCTCGAATATGTATTGTACGGATTATGACAAATAAACCTCTTTTACACAGTTCTGTATACCGCATTTCGCCGAGGTTCAAATTTTACCGAATTCCAATCACACAGAAAGGCCAGCTGACGACAGGTCAAAAAACAAACAACAATTTGTTGGAAAGTATTTGTCTCCTAATTTTACACAGTCCCTATCGAACGAAAACGAAATGAAGATGGCAACATAACTGACAGACTGTGTTTTCTTCCTTTTCAGATGAACATCTCACCGATTATTCCTTTTCTTCTGTTCTTATTTTTTGTCGATAGGAGCAGTGCAAGAAGTGGAGGAAGGGGTGGTGGAGGTGCTAGAGGAGGCTCGCGGGGAGGTTCCAGATCCAGAGGGGGTGGTAAATTCCATTCCAGGTATGATCTCAAATATGCTTGGGATTCCAGTTTTGTAGTTTTCAGTTCTAGTCACTCATATGTTCACTATGACTCTTCTTCGTTTCGTTCGACTGTTTTCAAACCATCCACTTCCAGTTCATACTTTTCAACGGGCACCACTGGAAACACTTATATAATCAATCAACCAGCAACCCCGATTATGTAAGTCAGGCTATTTTCAGGGAGCTACTATCCATTTGAGGCATGAGCTGAGCCACTCCGAGTAATGGGAGATTGCCAAAGGTTTCGTGAGTTACTCGGTTTAACCTCTCGAACCGGGTAAGTCCCAAATTCGAAGAATAACTCCCGAAGCCTTCAGCTAATTTTCATTATTTGGGGTGTCCATGTAGTTATCCAAAATATTGAGTCCCTTATTTCAGTTACGATAATCATTACTACTACTGGCACGGATATTATCATAGTCGCCCTGAAAAGAAATCGGTCTGTGAGTATACAATCACGGCTGAAGATGGTGAACTTTTTAATGTAACGTTTTCAAATGGAACAACACCAAAATCGTTAACTTTTGGGTGTGGAAGTTTTGAAGAATGTTGTGGAATGTCTTGTTGTAGTACTGTTGGAACATGGATCGCAGTGTTAGTTGGAAAAGTTATATGAATCCATGGAAACTATTATTTCAGAACCATTTGCTTGCTTTTCGTGATAATAGCATTGGGCTATGGATGTTGGGTAGGTTGAGCAAAAACTCGGTTCAATTAGAATCGGGTTGAGCAAAATTTGCCTATTTCTTTTTATTTTTTTCTGATTAAGTTCGCATTCATTAATCGGTTCCTCAATTATGATGTCATTCATTGTAAGAGCATCCAGTCAAATGACTCATTATTATTTTGAAATCAACTTCTAAAAGTGATAATGAATGAATCACAAACTTATTCAAAATACCGTTTCCGTTGTCCGTAACACAATCAAACAAGAAACAAAACTGGTCGAGTGTTTGAATCTCTGCGTCTCTTTGATCTTAATTTCTATCATGAATCGATCTAAAAGGAGAACGAAACGAAGAGATAGGTCACTTGCCTTACTTTTTTCTTTTACATGAACATTTCCTTGTCTTTTCTCATATTCTCTATTCTTTTCATCTATGAAATAAGTGCAAAAAGTGGTGGAAGAGGCGGTGGTGGAGGAGGTAGAGGAGGGGGTGGAAGAGGTAGCAGTGGATCGAGAAGCGCCTTTTCAAGATCCGGATCTTCTGGAGGGGGGAAATATCATTCTAGGTAAATATTCGATGTGACTAACATTTGCATTTTAATAAACTTTCAGCTCAAGTCATTCCAATTACATCAACTACGATTCCTCCTCGTTCCGTTCCAGTGTTTTCAACCCATCAACATCTAAAACATATTTCAGTACGGGAACTACCACTAACACATTTGTTATCAATCAGCCAGCTACACCAATCATGTGAGTTCTATAGTTTTTAGTGTATGAATCTGAAGATGTTTGCAGATACGATAACCATTATTATTACTGGCACGGGCACTATCACAGCCACCCAGAAAAGAAAACATATTGTGAATATGCAATAAGTGAGGAAGATGGGGAGCTGTACAATGTCACATATGAAAACGGAACAAGACCGAAATATTTGACGTTTGGATGTGGGAGTTATGAGAAGTGCTGTGGATTGTCGTGTTGTAGTTCGATTGGAGATTGGATGGCATTGTGAGTTTAAAAGTCCTGAAGGGTCTTTCAACTAAATCATTTTTTCAGATCAATCTGGTTCTTGATCTTCTTCTTGGCGTGCTGCTTCGGCTCCCGCAATAACTAATCGCTGGTAGGAAACAACGAAACTTACGAGGTCTTTGATAACTGTGATGCATAATATTTTTGTACGAGTTCTTTAAATTTATACATTCATGAAAATTTCAACGAAAAATCTTGATGATAGAACTAGTGTTCTGAAGCAGCAGATTTTCAAAAAAAAACCTCGTTTAAAATTGGAACATTCTGGAAAACAAGCCCACAAACAACCTCAATCACCTTCTTGGAATCCCTTGAGACCATTGGCTCATTTCTCCTGCCACCCCTTGAAAAAAATGACGTCATCCCAGTTTCGTTTCGTTTTTCAACTGGAGAACCAGAAAGCAAAATGTTTGACATGTATTCTCATTAATGCACAGCACGGCATGTAAAATTCTCCACAACAATTGCTACTTCTCTTTTTCTTTTTTCTTCTTGGCTCTGACAACTCAGTGAGCAACTCATCTGACTGCTAGCAAATATTCCTCGCGTCTAGTACGTAGGCAGCTTCTCTCATAACTCTCTGTTCGTCTGCGTCTCTTTTGTGCTCCGCATCTCTTGTGTTGGTCCCTCACGGTATACTTCAACTGGCGGAGAGAGTCATACATGTGGACTTATTGAAATTCTAAGCGATTAATCCGAGAGATAAGATGTTGAAACCCATTGATTTCTTCTGTTAACCTGGACATTCTCACTAACTTTTGATTCAAATTTCTGTATAGGCTTTTCTCTTGCCACTACTAGCTGTTATTATGAAAGTCAGACTTTGTTTCATTTTTCTCTGTTTACTACTATTATTCTCGTTATTCGATGAAACCTCCGCGCGAGGTGGCGGTGGTCGAGGCGGCCGAGGACGCGGACGCGGACGGAGTGGAGCTCGTGGAGGTGGAGGATCGCGTGGAAAATCCACAATGAGAAGTGGAATCCGCGGAAGTAGCTCGTATTCTGGAGGATATCGTCAAGGAGCCTATGGATATAAAACGTAAGATTGCGAAATACTTTGAGAAGCGTTTGATTTAAAATTTCAGACAATCATCAACATCTTCTTTTTCCAATTTTGGTTCATCATCTTTCCGAAATCAACACTTTTATCATAATCCAAACATTCAAGTACGAGCTGGTCATCCATTTGTGATTCTGGCGGCAACGCAACCCATGTTGTAAGGATTCAGAGAAAAGTTTTTCGAAATTTATATTTTTGTTTTTTTCAGTTATGATAATCGAAACTATTACTGGAGTTATAGTCTGACAAAGTCTGCAACAAGCAACGAAACTCGGCCGGAATCCATTTGTGAATATGTTTTTGGAGAGGATGATGGAGATTTGCGAAATGTAAGAGAGATTTTAAAAGGATTAGAAAATTTAAAAAAAAAATTTTTCAGATGACTTTTGCCAATGGAACTCAAGTCAAATCGATATTCTTCAGTTGCACAGGAACTGTTGATTGTTGTGGAATGTATTGTTGTCATGATTTTGGCCAGTGGTTCGAGCTGTGAGTCAAAACTTTTTTCTTCTTTTGAAATGTTTATTTTTTCAGGTTATTTGTTATTGGGTTCATTGCCGTAATCATATTCATAGCCTACCATGCAAAACGGAGCGAGATGGCAAAAGGATCATCATCGAAAGATTTAGAACCACTCCGACCAGTCAAAGCTAAAGGGAAAACTGGAAAATGACAAAGTCGAGAAAAAAAAATAAATGTATATACCACCTCAGGAATCTTCTTCACCGGTATCAATTTCAAGTTCCTTTACCTCAAAAACAGTATGAAACATTATCGAATTTCTTTGATTTAAAAGAATTCTTGCTTCTTCTTTTCATAAACCAAATAAATTTTCTAATACACATGAAAATATTTTTTAATTTCGTTCATACACGGGAACATGCTAACGGATCCGTTTGGGTGTCACCTACCGTAAATTCTGTATAAGAAGGGCTTCGAAAAATAGAAGGACCCCTTGTAATAGAAGGGCCTCTCCCTGTAAAGGTAAAAAGGACCCTATAAAATTTCCCTTGGAAACGGTACTTCTGGGATAGGTAGGATACCGTGGCCTAGCGCTCCTAGTAGTTTTAGGAACGCATTTTCGAAAGAACAGACGGCTCTAGTATGAAATTCTGGTCCTCAAAAAAATTCTGGTCCTCAGAAAAAATTCTGGTCCTTAGAAAAAATTCTGGTCCTTAAAAAATATTCTGGTCCTTAAAAAATTCTGGTCCTTAAGTAAACATTCTGGTCCTTAGAAAAAAATTCTGGTCCTTAAAAGGTGTTCATGTAAATATAAATTTTTCATCGGAAAATTTCGTAAAATCCATGAATT